CAGCGCATGCTCTCTCGCGTCATCTCCGCCGTCTGTGGCTCCCTTTGCCAGCTGATCTGGCTGGAGCTGCGACTGGAACGATGCAGTATGAATTCCTACATGACTCAAGCCTGTCTCTTTCTTATTCCAGGGTCTACACTACTGTAGGCTTACAGCTTAGAATCCCCCGCTAGACAGAGACAAGGGGTTGTCCAAACAACCCGGCGAGGCCTCCGGACTTCATCTGGCACCCAGCAAGCCCTCCAGGTCTGGCGCTTCCCCAGTTCACAGGGAAGGAAAAGTCACTCATCCCGATTCACCATTTCAAGACGTAACCTGGAGACGACCTCTCGCTTAGCGCACGACCCCTTTTAGGGATCCTGCTGCATCTCAGCAAGGACTTCTGGAGAAATGAACTGCGTCTTTGATAAGGAGCCTCCGGGCACTCCCCGTGGGAGCTTCTAGAGCAAGAGAAACCTTCTCCTGTCCTTCATGGGCTCACTTATCTACTATTAACGATGAGGGCTTCAAAGGGGAGGGACCAAGGTTTCATAGACACAAGAAGAGCAAAGTTCAAAAAGTAACTTATAGGACTTACTTCCCTTTCTTCTTTTGGCCCCTGGGAATTTAAACAACGGGCACTTTTCAGACGAATACCAGCCATTTCAGAAAATCAGTGCAGAGCGGGGGTGAGCACAGGGCTCTCCCACACAGCAGCCATGGGACCCAAGTTTTCTGTAAAATGGGGTCATGAAGGTACATGCCTCATTAGGTTGATGAGACGGTAAAATAATACAATATACGTAAAGTGCTTAAAACAATGCCTGGTTAGTGTTAGCTCATAGTATTACTTTACTTTATTTTATTTATTTATTTTTAAATAGAGAGGAAAGGAGAGGGAGAAATAGCGACGGTTGCCTCCCACAAGTGCCCCGACTGGGGATCGAACCCGCAACCTGGGTATGTGCCCTGACCCAGAATCAAACCCGCCACCTGTTGATGCACTGGACGACACTCCGAAAAACTGAGCCACCCCGGCCAGGGCAGTATGACTTTATTATTAGCAGAGACCTGCCATGGGCATGTGCCATCACCAGAAAGAAAGGATAAGGACAGAAAGAGTGGACACTTGGAAACAAAATGAGAACGGTATTGTTGAAACTCTGTGGCTGAAGTGTATACACATCTATTTCTATTTCCATAATACTTGTCAATAACTTAGAGATAAAAACAACATATTCTGAGCTAAGGGTCAGAGGCCTAGCAGGAAACTGGACATCCTCCTAGTTCAGAGAGGCGTACCAAAAGGCTGCTCACGTGTGCGACCATACACACCGCATGAGTGTTAAAGGAGACAGCAAGCCTCTGTGGTCTGGGTTAGCCAAGCACAGTTCCACAGGCCACAAAAAAGCAGCTACGATACTGTCTTGCTCTCATGGTGTTAATCGCTTGCACTCTGGGGCTGTCAACCAACCTGATAAATAAATGTTGGCTCCTGTGTTTCACATCTGCCTATACATTTAGCATTATTTAGTAAAGAGCACAATTTTAAAATAAAAATAACTAACTGGAGAAGTCCAGAGATCCTTTCAACCATTTTTTTTTTAAACTTTATGAATAATTACCTACTACAGTCTTTCAAAGTCTTAATTTTTAACAGTCTGGACATTTGGCCATTCCTTCTACCTGGGCTGTGCATACATATTCAGAAAATGTACTTTCTCGCAATAATTAGAATTGGGTTGTTAACGATCGTGACTGTGTTTCACCTTCATTTATGGTTCTCGCAGTGTCAGGAGGACGAGCAGCGTATATGAGACTGAGAGTGAGGAAGACTGTCCAAAGGGACTCTGGGGCTATTAATTATTTATCTACTTTTCCAAGTTAATAAATAGGCCTGTCTTTTGCCCTTTATTCCCCAGATGGATTTAACCAAATGAGAGACGGGGGTGTGTGTGCAGAGTTAGCCATCTGAAAACGCAAGAGGTGCGGATAATGGAAAGGAGATTTAAAAATATACATATTCATTTAATGCCTGTTGAATATGCATAGCACTGCTTTATCTGGCATGTTTTCTATTATGAATAAATTCTCATGACTTCTTGATGGTTTTAGAGTGTACTTTAACAAACACGAGTGCTTTAAAGACATAACATTAATACCAAACAAAAACAAAAACCAGAAAGCAAAATTCAAATAACCTGCTGTCACCAAAATAAATAAATAAGTAATGCTTATATATAGTTAGAAAATGCAAATGCTGAAGAAATAAGAACCTCCCTCCTCACCACCCGAGTCCCTTTAGCCAAAGGTAAACCACTATGCTTTTTCTCCTCCCAGGAAAAATATGTGTGCATATATAGCCACTTATTGACCAAAAGGAATCGCATGCACATGTTCGGATACAGACTTTTTAACTTAATAACGTGTCCTGACGCTATTTCCGCATCAGCACACGTGATTACCACATTCTGTCTGCTCTTACGCACAGGGCGGCAGTGAGAAGCATCTCTGCACACGCAGCTTAGTGTTAACGTGTGTCTTGGGTTTGTTTTTGTAGTGTGACCTACTACACGAGTCAGTGCGGTAGCACACACTACACCAAGCCGTCCGTCCCAGCTGTGTGGTGGGTAAAGAACCATCTCGCTTCCTTGGTTTATTTCCGTTCCTTTGGGAAACTTCCTGAGACCACGGTGGTTTACACCACCGGGGTCTCAGGAACAGCTTGAAGGGCCCACGGAGAAAAGGACCGTTTTAGCTTAGAGGAGGTGACTCTTTCTACCTGTTCGCTTCCCTGCAGCGGCGCAGCGATTCTGTCTTTGTACTTAGATCCACCTGGCGGGCTCCCTACCCCACTGCCGGGGCAAACCGAATGCTCATGGCATGAATGGAATGCTTGCAGAAGGGGAGACATAAGCAAGCGCTGGAGAGCTGTGCGTGGAACAGCAGGTACAACGGCCAGATGACTGTGACCTTCACTGTACTGCACGGCTATTGGGAACTCCCTGCTCATGGAAGACCATGATTCAGGATGTTTGCCTCGAGGTGCCCAGGAACACAGCTGAGTGGCAGAGCTGGGGTTGAAAAGTGCCGACAGAGTTCACAGCTCAGAAATATTAATAATAATAATAAAACCTATCTTTACACTTAGTGGCCTCAAATTCTTTTTGAAATGGTGAAGGACTTAAATTATACTTGGAAACCTTCCAACATAGTATTTTTCCAAATATTTATCTCAGTTGACTCACATCAGTTCTATGCAGCAAGTAGGTCAGTGTCACTCACTGTCCCCACTTCAAAGACAAAATGACGGTGGCACAGCAAAGATACATGACTTGCCCACGGCCAACCAGCTGACTCAGTGTTCTGACTCTAAGAACTGTGCTCTTCCCTGCATTCTCCCGGGACCATTCACGTCGGACACACCAATTTTAGAACCCCAGAGAAGAGCTGAGAATGAAGCCAGAGAAGTAAATATAAATATATCCCTCTCCAGGGATACCTGAAATCCTGAAAACTACCTCTTCCTAGTAGAACTTGAATAAACTGAATAATATTCATGTTGCTAGGTACCAGGTTGAGATACCAAACTTAAACCTGGACAGAGGAGTTAACAGTCTCCACTAGTTTTACAAAGATGTCTGTGAAAATCCGGTTTTATGTTTTATTATGAACACCCCGTTCCATCTCATCCTTTTAAAATCTAGTAGCTCTCCATTTTTAGTTAAGGCACTGCCCTGGCCAGTACTAGTGATCTGTCATTCAGGTATCTAACACCTCTTTCTTGAGTTTTTCTCAGTTAGGACTGTCCTTGATGAGTGTTTTGCGCATTTCATATTTTTTTAGAATGGCTTACAGAAGAAATGGATTTAACTTTGTAAAGCACAGACATGTATGTGCTATAGGAACCAAACTTTCACAAAACCCAAATTACCCTTTCTATGGGTGGGTTTACCTGGTTATTTTCTATGCCTTCATACTTTTTCATTTTTTAAAATATATTTTATTTTTTATATATGTATTTCTTACTGATTTCAGAGAGGAAAGGAGATAGATAGAGAGACAGAAACATCAATAATGAGAGGGAATCATTGATTGGCTGCCTCCTGCACGACCCCTACTGGGGGGGATCGAGCCCACAACTCCAGCACGTGCCCTTGGCTGGAATCGAACCTGGGACCCTTTAGTTCCCAGGCCGACATTCTATCCACTGAGCCAAACCGGCTAGGACTCAAAATATATTTTTATTGATTTCAGACAGGAAGGGGGGGGGGACAGAGAGAGAAACATCAATGAGAGAGAATCATTGATTGGCCTTCTGCATGCCCCCTACTGGGGATAGAGCCCTCAGCTGGGGCATGTGCCCTGATGGGGAATCAAACCGCGACCTCCTGGTTCATAGGTCAATACTCAACCACTGAGCCACAACAGTTGGGTTCATTTCATTTTTTAAAATTGTAATTATGGATAAACACATTGATTTTGACTCAAAAATGGGTCTGAATAACACTGGCTTAGGTGAACCATACACAGATCCAGCTTCAAAGAATTTATACACTAGTTGGGAGTCTCATGGGTGCATTGTTCACGGACATATTACAGTTGGAAATCCTTAGAGGTCAATCAGGTCAACTATCTGCCCTGTAATTGATTGTACATCCCTGACAGCGGGGGGATGTACCTGCAGATGTTTGAACATCCCTAGGACAAGAAGTCGCCTCCCGTTTGGAACCTAGCACAGGACTGCTCACAGAAAGACCTGTTAAAACGGTACAGACCTGAAGCTAAATGAACCAAATACCTAAACATACATCCCATTTCTTGTTCCTGAAAGACAACTTCAACCTTTGTTTCCTAAACCCATCTCCGCCTTTTCCAGAAGGACGAAGAGGGCAAGGCCAATCGGGGCACGGAGGTCTAGAGAGGCTCCTCTTTGATGACCTGAAGAAGGTGTCTTAGCAAGTTAGGAAACGAAACGACAAGCAGCCTTCGCCGCTGGAGCCTGCGTCGGGGATACTCACCATGAGGGCTGGGAGGCTGGCGGTCAGCAAAGGCTCCCTGGAGGACGTCCCAAGTGAGCTAGCTCCCTCTTGACAGATGGGCTGCAATGAGAAGGGTGGGGAGAAAATGGGGGAGTGTGATCAGCGTGCACACGGATGCCTTAACTCAGAATCCTACTTAGATCCGTCTTGGTCATGTAAAAAAATAGAAAAGCTGGGCTATCCATATTGCATTTAGGTAGCAATGCCATCCTCGTACCCCACCCCCACCCCACCCCCGCATCTCTCAATGCTGTTTGAGCCTTATCAGGAGCGACCACTACATGCATGTGTCCTTGATGAAAGCTGTAGACCTTATATTCTTGAAGCGTGTCCCCCATGCTGCCACGGGCCCGATACATCATGACAAACCATTTTTCCCCCTTTTTGGCCAAAATTGAATTTTGTACAGGCCATACCCACGCAATCAATAGTCGGAAGGTTGTTGAAAGTTAATATACAAACAGGGACCTTTGCGGGCGTCAACTATCTGGTAATTCAGGCTCGGCGGGACCCAGGGGGCAGTGCCCTCTGAAGCTTAGCAGGAACTCGGGTCTGTCTCGGGGAACACACACATCCGGGGCGACTCACACACACGGTCCCTGGAGGCCGAGTTAAGACAGGAGGACAACAGAGCTAAGTGTCCCAACGGGCACTGGGCTTCCTCAGCCTCCTTCCAGCCTGAGAACCCGGGGAGCTCAGAGCCTTGACCAACTTCTCATAAACATCACCTTTTTTAAATTTATTTTTTCCCAATCTCAAAAGGGCTGTCTTCCCAGGGCCTCCAAGTTTACTCTGAGTTCTTCCTGAATCGGGAGACTCGGGGGTAGAACATGCCTTCGTGGAGTCGATGGTTTTCCAACAGGGAAGCTACTTCCGGGAAGGGTTCTGCTCCAATTTCCGAGAAAATGTCGGTCCGCGTCAGGTGTCTAAGACCACCAACCCCATCCGTGTTACAGGACTGTGTGGGGTCCCGCAGAGCGGCCACCGGCGGCCCAGCCTCAGCCCAGCGTCCCGTCCACGTGAACAGGTGGCTGTGACCCCCGCTGCCACCTAAAAATTCAAGCCGGGGGGTCCCCACTGGAGTCTGAAGGTGCCATGGGGGGCGACGGGAGGCCATGGCTGTCCTGTGACCGCTGCCTGCGCCGGGCGGGCCGTGAGGAGGGGGTTCGGGGCGAGCGCTGGGAAAGAGAGGGGGGACCCCTTCCCCGCCCGCCCACCGCGGGGTCTGAGGGCCGCCCGGTCCCTGTCAGGTGTTGCTCCCGCCGGGGTCACTTCCGCTTCCGGGTGGAGCCCAGCTTCTCAGCTGCTCATGTCAAACCTCCCGAGCAGGCCGCGCGGGCCCGGGGCGGCCGGCGTGGAAAGCCGAGGTTTTCCGCCCCGACGAGGAGCCGGGGGTCCCGGTGTGGGTCCCGGGGTCACCGTGACGTGCGCGGACGCGGCCCCGCCCTCACCCGGCGCCTGGACGTGGCGGCCGCCCCTCGCCACCGGCGCGACCCCCTCCGCAGCCCGCTCCCCGCGCCTGACGCCTCCGGGTCGCACGGGGTCCACACGCCCCCACGCGCGCGGCCGCGGCCCCGGGGCGCCTCCGGCCTGAGGGCGGGACCCGCTCCCTCCGCCCCGAGGCCGCCCCGCGGAGGTCGGGCCGGGGCCGGGGTCAGGGTCGGGGTCGCGCCCCGCCGCCCTCGGGCACCCCGCCCCTCACGGCCCCGCCGCCGGGCGCACGTGCCGGGTGACAGGCCCCCTATAGGTTCCATACCTGCCACCGGAAGTGAGTGAGGAGGGCAGTATAGGCATTTCCTGTGACGCCAGCGCCTGGACTCCATTAGGCAGCAGCTGGGGGAAGAATCAACACACCGGGGAGCGGAGCGCCGCGGAGCCGAGCACAGAGGCGGCAGCTGCCTCGCTGCCGCCCGCCGCCGCCGCCCGCCCGCCCGCCCGCCGCCCGGGCCCAGCCCAGCGGCGCCCCCCCGCCGCCGCCCCGCCGCGACCCCCGGGCCGCGCACCCCGAGCTGCCTCCGGGAGGGGGGGGGGAAAGGGCCCGGATCCTCCTTCTCCCCCTCCTCCTCCTCCTCCTCCTCCTCCTCGCCCCTCGCCCCTCCTCCCCCCCCCGACCCCCGCCCGGCCCCGCACCCCGACCCCCGCCCGCCCCCGCCTCCCCGCGCCCGCCTCGCCCCCCCGGCTTCCCACCACGGCCTCTCTCGGCGAGGAAACTCTGGCCTCCGCTTCCTCCTCCTCCGACTCGGACACCGGCGGAGCCTCCCCGCCCCCGCGGAAGAAACCCCGAGCCTCGGCGGCGGAGGGGGCAGGAGAGCCCGGGGCCTCGGCGAGCCGCGCAGGCCTCTCCCCGCCGTCCTCGTCCTCGTCCTCGTCGTCCTCCTCCTCCTCCGTGGTGGTAGTGGTGGGACTCCCCCCGGCCGCCCCTCCCGCCGCCGCCGCCCCCCAGCGGAGTAGCGGCCACAGCCTGGTCAGCGGCAGCATCATGCAGGCCAACGGGGCAGGAGGAGGAGGAGGCGGCGGCGGCGGGGGCGGCGGGGGCCCGGGACAGACCCAGGAACTCGCCTGCCTGTCGGCCCAGAACGGGGAGTCGTCCCCGTCGTCGTCGTCGTCCGCGGGGGACCTGGCCCACGCCAATGGGCTCCTGCCCGCCGCCCCCTCCGCCGCCGGCAACAATAGCAACAGCCTGAGTGTCAATAACGGGGTCCCCGGCGGGGCCGTCGCCGCCGCCGCCTCCGCCTCCGCCGCCGCCGCCGCCGCCACCACCGCCGCCGCCGCCGCGGCTCTGGCCACCCCGGACCTGGGCAGCAGCCTCAAGAAGAAGAAGCGGCTGTCCCAGTCGGACGAGGACGTCATTCGGCTCATCGGGCAGCACCTGAACGGCCTGGGGCTCAAGTAAGTCTCCGGGGCGGACAGACGCGGGGACAGACCGGAGGCGGGGGCCCGGGAGCCTGGAGGACGCGGCTCGGACTGGCCCGGCCCGAGGCGGGGAGCTGCCCGCAGGGGACATGGGGAGAACCGTCCATCCGATTGGGGGGGATCGGGGAAGGGGGCGTAGAGACCAAGGGGTCTCCCCTCCCCGCACACCTTCCGGGCCCGATGGTCAGTAAGGACTTGCGGGGTGTGTGTCCGTGTGCGGCGGGGGAGGGGAGGGGAGGGGGGGCCGGTGGAAAGAATGAACCTCGGAGGGTTTGTTTTGCGTCCATCTCAGAGGCATCTTTGTGGGACGCCTGCCCCCACCCCCACCCCACCCCCCGGCCGTGACAGACAGCCCGGGCCGGCCACCAATCAGGAGAGGCCGTCGCCTACAAGTGTTTATGGGAACGAGGGGCTGGGATCCTGGGGGAGGAGGGGGGACGCCTCGGAGGGGAGTCCTGGAGGGGGAGGCCCCGCGGGTGTCAGGCAGAGGCCCCGCCGGGTGTGTGGGTGTGTGTGTGTGTCCCGGGGGCCTGCCCCTGGCTCGACCGGAACCCCGATTGACTGCCGAGACTCGGCTGCCTCTGGAAGGGGGCATCCGATCTGGTGAATCGTTTATTTTCCAGTGCGGTTGAGGCGGCCTTCTGGACCTAAATAGGGTGAAGGGGGCGGCGACCTTGGCCCCAAACCTCCGTGTGTGCACAAAGAAAAACCAAGGGGGGAGGTCGGGTTGGGGGGCGCCGAGAGCCCCAGGCAGAGGAAGGGGGAACGCGCCACAGCCTTTCCCAGCTCCCAGCGGCTGGCCATTGAAACTCGCTCCGGGGCAGCCCGTGTGGTCGTGTTGGGTCCACTTTGGCTCTGGGGAGGGCAAGGAGGACTTTTCTAAGGTGACAGAAGTATTTTGATTCTCGGGCAGATGGCTGATGGCACTGTTCAGCTGAAAAATAACTGGGCTGAGTAAGAAAACATTGAAACATAAACAAACATGTAAGAACTGATAAAGGAAGATTCTTAGGTGTCAAAATATCCGGGCCACTTTTGATGAGTCTTTTATGCTTTCAAAGAGAGATAGAGGAAGATTTCTCTTCTTTGCCCGAAGGGAAAGGAATTAGTATGAAAATAGGCTTTGTAAGCGCTAACCTCGTCTTACTGAGACCAGAAGCAAGCTGACAGCAGCAGGAGGAAATACCTCGTGACTGTTTGGAACCCACACCATAGTAAATTGGCTATTTTTAGGATAGAGAGAAAGGGGATGATTTTTGAGGCTGGATTTATTTCCATTTTAAAGACTGACCTACTAGAATTTCTATGCAAACATGTCTGGATGTAAGACTCTCCCCCCTAATGGCAAGTCATCGCTATCACCTTGTATGGAGCTAACATTTTTTTTATCTTACGAAATGTAACAGGGTTAGGGAGATCCTGTTTTGTGTGTGTATGTTTGTTTTTTTTCCATTTATTTAACCAATTGGTTACAACATGTTTTGAGGAATTTTATACTTCATTTAAACTTTTGAGGCATTAAATGGCAGAATAGAAAGAACTTACTTTGATTCTGGTTTCAGGAAGGCTTTTAACTTAACTAGATAGAAACGAAGGTGGCAGTTTAAAAATCAAGTTGGTTTAGCCAAGCACATGAAAGCTCTTTATTTCTTTTTTCTTCCTGAGATTAGTTTTAAAACGTTGGCAACTGTTTTCATAGACATTCGCTTGTTGGGAAGAGTAAACCCTGAACTTGGTCAGGTCGTTTTTACACTGTATCTCTCCTGCAGCCAGACTGTTGATCTCCTCATGCAAGAGTCAGGATGTCGTTTAGAACATCCTTCTGCCACCAAATTCCGAAATCATGTCATGGAAGGAGACTGGGATAAGGTAAAGTAGGGCCTATAGAGCTGTGTGACTGCTGCTAAAATTAAATATCTGACGTGCAGGTTGTGACATTTCTGTTTTTCTCTTATACCAATTTTTGCAGGCAGAAAATGACCTGAATGAACTAAAGCCTTTAGTGCATTCTCCTCATGCTATTGTGGTAAGAGGCGCACTTGAAATCTCTCAAACGTTGTTGGGAATAATTGTGGTAAATACACTTTTGTTCTTAGTTTCACATTTATGCTTATTTTAATAGGTTATTGATAACTCTGGGCTTCTGCCTCTTATAAAAGATAAGGCCTAAAAAGAATTAAATTTCATATAATTAAATTTATAAACTAAGATGAGTGTTTATGATTTGTTAAAGTTTGAACTCTATTTTTAAAATCATGTATAATAAGTGTGTCTTTTGAACCTAATTTACAAATTATGCTCAGTACAAAATTATATTGAAAGATCATGCTTATAGTGCTATTTCATAGGATAAACTATACTTTTAGATTATTAAAAATACTGAATGTGCTGGTAAAGAATGTATTTGGGTGTATGTATGTCTGTAGGCCTTAAGTAGCTGGCACTAATTTTTTTTCATCTTTGGCAATTATAATTATAGTTCATTCAACCCAGCTCTATCGGTGTGCTCACCATTTCCCATGCTTGCATTCCAGTTGTGTGAATTGACAGTGTCAAAGTCTGTATAATAAGTATGACTCTGTGAGGGTTTGTATGTGTGTTTGACCATTGGGTTCTGCTTCCTGGCCTGGCCTTATTTCCCCAACAAGATCAATTGAGTAGTTGACTGGGTAGCCTCTCTCATAAATCTCAGTGAATCTTTTATACTGATAGGCTTCACCTCTTCAGTAGATATTGCTGAGAGAGAGGAGGGGATACAGTTTTTTCTAAGTGCTTGCGATTGGAAACCATGAAGAATCAGCTGCCTGGCCTCTTCCTGCTGGCTTTTTTACTTCTAGCTGATTGATTTGTTGTCAGAAGCAATTTCCTGTCTGGTGGGGGAGGGACAAGGGTGAATAGGAAGTGAAGTAAGGAAACCAGCTGTTTGTTAAATATTAGTAAATGAGTGTTACTTCTGATTTTTTTTTTTTAATTGGGTCAAACATTGATCTTTCTGCCTTTGTCTGTAAACCTAAGAGAGTCTCCTGTTTTTGTTTTTTGGGGTTTTAAAAACAAATCTTAATTACAAACGTTTTCCAATTCTTCATGTGATTTTACACAATTATATAATCCTAGAGAATGGCCTTTAGGTGAGTTAAAGGTGCAAACAAATATGAACAAATACTGGTTCATTTAAATTGATTATCTTTTTTTCTCTTACTAAGTATTTAAAATACTAAAAATTTTAACTTGCTATTATTGAATCAGGTGGTTGATTATTAATTAACTCATGGAATAATCAATTCCATGGTCAATTTTTAAAATGAAAACACAGAAGTTAAAATAAACAAACATCTATATTCAAAAGGATGACAAATTTTCCAGTGACTAAATTTTCCCCAGTTAGTGTGTTTGGAGTTTTAAAAAGAAGACACCTAAGCATATTTTAACTGGCCAGCTTTTCATAAATTGTTAGCTCTGGTGGGGTGGAAGGCGACCCTAAAATAAAATCAAGGCATTTAAAGCCAAAATAAGAATCGGGGTTCTTTTCCCATCAGACAAGCTAGCAGTGCTTATATGGTGACAGTAACGAACTTGCCCATGGACTATTTTAAAATAGGATGTGATTTCTTGGAGGATTGCTTTCCTTTTTTAAGCTTCACCCAAATTGTATCTGTAATTTAGTAGTAAAAATTTGAATAGGCTCACTTCCTCTTTTTCTTAAGTTTTTATAGTAATTTGAGACTTCTGTATTGGATTTAGATTATTATTGTATCTCATTAGAAACCTTCATTAGAAGCAACATGTTAACTGAATAAAGGTAGTTTTAGATAATAAGGAGGAATCCTTTCTTTTTACAGCCTGTTCAGTCTATAGAACATTCTAGGATCTAATAAAAGATGAAGATTAAATCTCTGGCTGAGCCTCACGCCATCAAACTGTTTAGGTATTTATACAAAGAAAGGGGTTCCAGTTTTTATCTTACTTTAAGCATTGATGAATCAATTGCTTTTAAAAATGCAGTTCAGCATTTTTTTTCACCTTTCTAAGTATGTTTAGGTTTACTCCTCTCCCCCTCCTTCTCCAGAAGATAATCTAATGTAAGCATAAGTTTGTAGTAATGTCTTAGACGACAACTATTTGGTGGGTGGTTTTTTTTTTAACATAATTATTTTAACTGTATAGTCAGACACACTTGATGACTTAGTCTAGACTAAAATTGTATTTTACTTTTTAAACCTGAATGTTTTTATTGACCCGATCACTCTCCACTTTCCCCTGCGCACCTCCCTTTCCCTACTCCCCATATTTTTAAATGGTTTCCAGTCAAATAATACCAGAAATAGCAGAATTTGCTCTGGATTTTCTGGAAGCTGAGCTCATGAATCAACATTTTTTTTAGTTTGGGTTCAAATATGCTTAGCCATGTCTGAGGAATTGGGGTGGGTATTTGAGGTCAATAACATAAAAAACTCCTATATATCTAAATGTGTTTGATTCTTAATTTTTCAATATAATTGAAATGCTTAACAAAACTGTTCAAATATTAATGCACAAAAATGAAGTAGTATATTTTAAAGTCAAACAGGGAGGAGTTTTGAGAGCCATGGTTTAAATATAATTCATTTCCCCTTTCCTCTGAGTCATTTAATTGATATAACTTGGTTAAAACCTTGTTCCAGAGTTAGTCAGAACCACTGCTAGGTTGGCTAAGAGGCTGTTCTTGATAAACACACTTCCTGTGTATCGTAACTTTTGAGTTCTTTTTTTCCCCCCAACATTGAGTTCAGTGTAATTATATGGGAGGAAAGGATAAACCAATACAAATATTGGGTAGGCAACAGCCAGATTTACCATGTGAAACTGTCTTTCAAGCTGTCCTATTCACTTACCAATGTCAAGTTTATGTTAGATAGAAAGAGACACTGCTGGGCCCAAATATGCCGCAAAGTTATCAGACACCAGAAATAATCTAAAAAATTAGGAGTTGGGGAAACAGAAAAGAGAGTTCACTTTCTCTTCTTTCCTTTCCTTCTTCATTTAAGAAGCACGTGATCTTTTAAAAAACCATGAGTAAAGCCCTGACCCCACATTTCAGCAAACTTGAGTTTTGCCTTTTTAAAACATTTTTAGTAAATAATTTAACATCATTTTTGAAAGATATTTATTTTCTTGAAACTATATTTGCATTTTTGTGCCTTCAATTTTGGGAAGTAAAACACAGTTTTACTCCCCATTCTTATCATGTGCATCAAATGCTTGATTTTTTTTTTTTTTAAATATATTTCATTGGTTTTTTACAGAGAGGAAGGGAGAGGGATAGAGAGTTAGAAACATCCACGAGAGAGAAACATAGATCAGCTGCCTCCTGCACACCCCCCACTGGGGATGTGCCCGCAACCAAGGCACATGCCCCCGACTGGAATCGAACCCGGGACCCTTCAGTCCGCAGGCTGATGCTCCATCCACTGAGCCAAACCGGTCAGAGCAAATGCTTGCTTTTAAGTAGAATAAGTACTTTCTCTCTCAGCCACATCTCTTTCTGTGCTTAGCCAGCAGCATGTTCTCTGCCATGTGCACCACCAAGATTTGATACCAGTTTCAGGATATTCTTTGTCTTAATCTGGGTAAAATGACTCATAGAGAAATGTTCTTGCTCTGCTTTTATAGCATTCCCTGTGTACAGAAAAACGTGTTTATATTGGCTTCTCTGCCTTCCTCTCTTCTCCTCTCCTCCTCTGCCCCATGGAAAGAGAATAACATGTTCTAGCAGGATCTTGGTGGGAAAATAAGGGGGAAACAGCACTTGGGACACTGTCCCTACACACATTGGAATGGCAGAGGGGTGTGCATAGGACGTAATGATTGATACCCAATAAATAAATAAGTTAAAAATTTGCCCTAAATTAAAAAAAAATTTTCCCCAAATTCCCAATTGTTAAGAAAATTTAGTGAAGAAATGAAATGCAAATTCTGGCCAGCTCCATGTGGCATTTAAATTTAAAAATTCTGTAACAAAATATGATTCTCAAATTTGAATCAAAAACACTATGTGATATGAAGCTTTTACCAGTATACTGATAAATGGAAATAGACGACTCTTCATAAAGAGTTGAAGTGTTTTTAAAAGGATAAAATGGTGAGAATATCCAGAATGAACTTCAAATGTTTTGATTTTTAGATTGTTCTGTTTTATTTAGTCTTCTGTTTTTGGTTTTTGTCACCTGATGGACTTCAAAGTATTTTTTAATTTGATATATAAAAGTAAACTTACGGTTGCATGTACAGCAACAATTTTTAGAGCATCTTGGAAACATCTGTTTTTGAAATACTCATTTAGTCAGTGTAACTTTGTGTAAAATTTGGTAAGTGTAATTTTTCTAGAGTTATAGGAGCTTATTTCATAGTTGGAATTTTTCCTATTGTTCTTTAGCTATAGTTTTAAGATTAGATTATTACCAAGCATAAGCAATGTATGTTATAAAAGATGTATTTAAATGTGTGCCTAATCTATATGAGAGGGTTTGTTTTTATTTATTTTCTCTAGAACTAGTCATTTTTATAAGCTGAGGTTATTCCTTACTTCTAAATACTCCCTAATAGGAAATCTTGTAGAGCAGTTATATGATGCTCTTAATTCCATATATAAATGATAATTTCTTCAAACCATCTTTTGAGAGCAGTATATTTTAATGTGTTTAAAGTAAGCAGTAAATGCTTTTTAAAGTAAGTGGATTTGAGATTTTTACCACTATTTCTTGGATTCTCTAAGTATAACTAACACTTCCTATCTACTAACAAGGTTCTCTATGTACATCAGTTGGCTTCAAGCTCCCCAGGTAGCAGATATAATGAAAGTCCCTCTAGGCAGTGTCCTTAATTAGGTTTAAGGTTTAAAAGAAATTCCAAACTTGATATTCATAAATCCCTCTTTGCCCTAGCAAAAAGCTGCTAAGATTTCCAAGTTACTTTCCAGTTAAAGTAATGCAGTAAAGGAACATTAGAAAATTCTAAAGCCCAGCACATTTCAGGGGGAAAAAACAAAACTAAATGCGGAAGTGTTTCATAAGTTGGAAATGGTTTACCCTTTAAGGGGAAAGAGCTGATAATTGTCTGTGCTTCATAGTTATGTGTATCAGTGATCAGATTGTTACCAACCCACAAATACAAATATTGAATCTTCTTGAAAACCTTTGAGTTGCACCTTTATTGCCTTGAGAGTGAGTCCCCTCAGGCTTACGCTTGTCCGCTTGAGTCCTAGGAAACTCGGTACTTTGCACACCAGCCTTTAGTCCGTTTGCTGGGCAGCTCTTCTTACTTCTGATAAGCCAAAATCTGACACTTGGCAGCTTCTACCTCATGTCTCCAGGTCTGCTTTCTGGTCCCCTTAGTCCTTCTTTCACCTTGTGGATTTTAAATAATCTCTTCACTAATGGAATTTTCTGTGTTTTTTTTCCAAAACCTGTTCCCTAAAATGTTCCCACTGCCCATTATAAAAGTCCCAGACTTTTTTTAAAAAGAAAATTTAGAGTGCTGTAAATAGTTCTAAATTTTTATAGAAGAAATAAAATTCTAGGTGAATGTTTTGAGGGCAGAATTCATTCTTTCCTGTTTCGATGTCATTAATGATCGTATCTGATTTGAGATTATTCAAAACTGTTGTGTTAAGACATGAAATTGAGCACAGTCACATTTAATATACTGTGACTCCATTAAACCCAAATATTTTGAGTCATATTAAAGCTTTTTAAAAAGTTATTGTCAAAGGGCGTAGTAGAATCGTTTCTACTGTTCTGTTTAGGCACAAACATTTTCTGAACCTTCCGTCAACTTTTTTCCCCTGACTGCTGCTTTCTGTCATGTCAGAGGATGAAGTTCTTGCTGCTGCAGCAGAAGTACCTGGAATACCTGGAGGATGGCAAGGTCCTGGAGGCCCTTCAAGTTCTACGCTGTGAATTGACGCCACTGAAATACAATACAGAGCGCATTCATGTTCTTAGTGGGTAAGGAGGCCTAGTTCTTAGACTCCAGGTTGATGAAGGGGCTGTTACTTTTATCAAGGTCAGCTTTCAAAGTTACATCTCTAACATTTTTCCAAGATCTGAATATTGCTAAATTCTTAGGTAACACTAACCTGGATAGAGTCACTTATAGAGGTACTCTTTTTTGTCCTGCTAGGAAGCTTTCCATATTAGAATAGAGAAATACTTAAGTGGGTAAAAGGAAGAAGAAATATGTATTGCCCGTGAAAGGCCATTTCAGAATCTTCTACAAAACTAATAAGCAATGAAGTTTCCAGAATTGATGCGTATATTTTCTTAATGTACACTTATCATTCACCAGGTCCTTGCTAAGCACTTCATATGTACAATCTCATGTTATTTTCATGTCAATCCTTTAAAAGTTAGCGTGCCCAAAGGCCTGGTTCTGGACCTCCTTTCTGTTCTGTTTAAACACTTTCCCAAGGTAACCTCATTTTGTACCATGCCTTCACAGACCATCGATCTGCCGGTGGCTCTTAAATTCACCTTTCATCTGAACTCCCAGCGTACATATCTAATGGCCTACTTGACAGTCTCTGTTTGGCTAATAGGTGCCTCAGTTAAATGTTCAAAACAAAACTCTTGATTCCAGTTGCCCATCTACCCACTTCACTCTCACTGACCTGTTCCTCATCTCAGTAAATGGTAAGACCTTTTACCCACTTGCTCAGACAAAAAACTTAAGCCTCATTCTTGCTTTAAAAAAAAAAAAAATTATAAGAGAAAATTCGTTGAGAAAATTCTAGAGGTAGTAGAAGTGAACCGGCTGGGCTGCATAAGCTCAGGAAACAAGTTATAGAGGCAGAAGAAGGGCACTGGAACTTAGGAGAGAGAAAGGCAAAGTTAACGCCCCGGGAGGCTGGAGGGAAAGAAGGTAGGAAAGGGCCTAACTCTAAAACATCCCAGGTTTGTCCGTTTCTTTTCACCTCCACAATTTCTACCCTAGTTAAGCCATAAGCGCCTCTCCCTCCCTTAATGCATATTTCGCACAGCAGCCATAGAAACACATAAGCAAAACCATGCATTAACCATTTCTCTCCTTTCTTAAAACGGTCCACTGGCTTTCTAGCGTGCTTAAAACGCAAGAACTGCCCAGGCCCACAAGGGCCCGGATCCTTTCCCGCCCTCTTTTCCCTGGTTCATTACTGTAGTGACACAAACATGAAGGCATCTACTGCCTATTCCCTGTATCTTAAATGCTCTTCCCCTAATCTCTGCATCGTTGGCTCAGGTCCCAACCCAAATATCCGCTCCTGAGACCACCCACCAGGCATTCTCTGTCACATCACTCTGTTTTTAATTTGTTTTTCTTTATAGCATTTTTCATTATATGATAGGGCCCCTTGCATCTAGAACAGGGTGGGGAATGTCCGGCCCTCAAGCCATATAAGGCCCGTGAAATCATTTGGTCTGGCCATGCAACCGCAGGTGGGACTTGAAATTCAACGAATCTAGGAGCTTTTTTCATAGCAACATAAATTTATATTAAGCAAACGATGTTATAAATATCCAAATGGCCCTGGGCAGAAAAAGGGTTCCCCACCCCTGATCTAGAGTAATATCTGACACATGAGTTTTCAAATATATACAAAAAGATAGGCCCTAAGGTGTACAGGGTTCACTTTAGGGTTTTTGCAGATACGGAAACTAAGCCTCAGGTGAAGCAAGCAGCCCAAGATACAGCTAGTAAGTCAGCCAAGATTCAAAGCCTGGTTTGGCTGATTTCAAAATCATTGGTCTTGACCCACTACTACATCTTGAAATAGTCAGTTCTGCTGGATATTTCAGTATTGCAGCTGACACATTACTTTATGCGGATTACCTCTTTCAGAGGTGTCCGATTTCTGTGTCGCCTAAGTGGCATTCACATGGTGGGCTTTCTTTTCTGCTCTGGCAGTAGTGCATACACTTTCATCACAGCGGTCTTATTCTTCAGGGAGCTTCATCAAGTTTGTCCCTAGACTATTGCACATAAGTAAATGGCCTAGAGGTGACAAGATGTGGAACTGACATCAGAACTCAGTCCAGTGTTTTCAGTTATACATGTGACTTCCTTTGAAACCTTAAGGTGTAATATTTTCAAAAGGGCGCAGAAACCATTGTAGGTTATTTTTGCAAAATTTAAAAAGTAAATTATTTTCTCAGAATTATTGATAATAAATTTTACTCCCAAAAGGTTATTTTAGAAACCAAACTTTTGCAGTATTCAGCTTAAATCTAACTACTCACACTATTTTTTTTTTCATACTATTTTTTTAAAATTAAGTTCTCATCAGCTAAGGCTCTGTATACTAAATAGCAAGAGAACAAGTAGTTCTGTCGTTGGGTGAAAAGCTATTAATTGATTTAAATGCTAAGTGCAATATGCTTTATGCAGTTAAGAAAAGGAGGAGGTGATACTTGGGTTAACTGACAGGTTTCTGGTACTTATATTGTCATTTATTAAGCTCTACGTGTATACCAGGAAGTGGACCGAGTACCTCATATGCTCATACTCCATCTCACTTAATCCTTACTGCCTTGTTTCATACCCTCTTTACAAGTGAGAAGAACAGATTTGTCTGAGAACAGACAAAAAATAGCAGGAGAGTTACTTGCCAGGTCTAATCTCCATGTTTGAATAATGCCTTCACTTCTTTTACTTTTAAAGCCCGTTCTTCTGAGAAGAGCCAGAACCAGGTCAGGGTCACACTTCCAGCAGGGGGCCCTCATGTATTCTCCAGAGTCCATGAACTTTAGCGTTTATGCCTCCTTCGGCACAGATAGTGAGTAAGAAAGCAGTTCCCAAATTTCCTGCTTTGGGATCGCAGTACCTTTCACAGGATGACACAAGGATGGTTGTCCAATTATACCATTTCTTGAGTGACGTTTATGATAATCTCTTAAAGGTATGTTGTTTTGTTTAATTAACTTAATATAACTTTTAAGGTTTTGTTTTGTATTACTAGTGAAAGCTGTTAAGTTAGCATGGTGGTTAAGAGCAAGTTCTACAGCTAGAGTGTCTGGATTCATATTCCTACTTTGCCTCTTAACTTGACCCTAAGTCAGTGACTTAAACTCTTTGTCTTCAATTCCTCATTTATAAAACTAGAATAATAGGGCATACTTCATACAGGATGGTTATGAGCATTAAATGAAGTAATAATAGATGTTGAGTGCTTAGAACAGAGGCTGGCACACAATAAGAGCTATATATAGATAACAGTACAATATATATAAGAATATGTTCATAGATAATATAACAATTACATGTATTTAGCTACTTCTGTTATGTTACATTTTTTAAATTATATCCAGATGCCAGGTTGTATTAATGAATTGGGTCCACTCCAGAAGTTTATTCTTGATAAATGTTTCTTAGTAAGAACTAGCTATCTTCAGTAGAATCAGTATTTTTCAATTCTTTTTAATCCAGAGAAAAGGACTTGCTATTTGGTTCTTTCCCTGTCGTGTTTGTAGGTATCTGATGTGTAGCCATGCAGAAGACCTGCGTGCAAAAGCAGAATGGGAAGGCAAAGGAACAGCTTCCCGATCGAAACTGTTGGACAAACTTCAAAGTAAGAGTCTTAATTTGTTGGTGTCTCTGTATTTGTTCTTAGATGAGAAGTAGCTATTGTGAGCCAGTTAGAAGGGCTTGTGCTAGACACACTCTTACTGAGTGGTTATTTAGGGAAAGGTGGTGGGGAGGTCCATCAAGAGACCCTGTAAACCATGGAGTCTAAGAAGCTAACCTCCACAGGCAGTGAGAGGGTGCTGGGCCCAGGCAGTTCCCCTTTTATTTGTTTTATGTAGCGATGCTCCCCGTAAGATTTTGTTTGTGGGAAAAGTGCTGTGGTTAGGCAAAAAATATATGTAAACCATGAGTGTTGTAAATATTGTCTTTTCAATAATAAGGCCCAAATTTCTTCTGTAAATTGTCTTACCCTCCCCTTAGCTAGCTATGTTCTGTGGCTCCCAATTTAGGGTAGGAGTTTCATTTTGCCACATCTTTATATAAAAGACCTTTCCCTCTGTGCTTAAGTCATGTTATTCTTTATATTTCATGTTGATCTGAGAACAGAGATTCTGAGAATCAGAAAACAATGTGACTGGGAGGTATAAGACATTAAAGGATCAGAATAGATTGGTGTCACTATCAAGATACCAGTTATTCCTTGAATTTTCATTGGCATTAGAAGCAACTAGAATTTGGCTTGTTGTAGGATTTTTGACTTGTTCTTTGTTAACTGGAGATTTTTCTTATACTTCTGGTGATGCATAGTCTCCCTCTCACACATCATCTTTAATTTTGTTTTCATTGTTACCGCCTTTTTCTTTTTTTTTAACTAATTTTTTTTAGTATTTATATTGATTTCAGAGAGGAATGGAGAGGGAAAGAGCAATAGAAACATTGATGATGAGAATCATTGATCAGCTGCCTCCTGCACACCCCCTATTGGGGATCGAGCCTGTAATCGGGGCATGTGCCCTGACCAGGAATTGAACCATGACCTCCTGGTTCATAGGTCGACTATCAACCACTGAGCCACACCTGCCAGACCGCCCTTTCCTTTTTTATTGATTTTGTTGTTGTTGTTTAGAAGATCCACGTATTAAAGCCCTCCTGTTCAAGTATCTTCCATTCTAGTGGCAACACATCTACAGACAAATAAATATTCATACAGCTCATGTTTCATAACCCAGAACTGCTCTATTTAAGAACAATATTATTAGGGTGGGGGCAAGTGCAGCAGCAAATAAGTAACTGTCTTATATAAAAGTTTATCCTGTTTTGTTTTGTTTTTTAATTTTCTCTTTTTAAAAATATCTTCTATTTAAAGCGTATTTACCACCATCAGTGATGCTTCCCCCACGGCGTTTACAGACTCTCCTGCGGCAGGCGGTGGAACTACAGAGGGATCGGTGCCTATATCACAATACCAAACTTGATAATAATCTAGATTCTGTGTCTCTGCTTATAGATCATGTTTGTAGCAGGTAAGAGGAAAACTTAAATTCTGAAGTAGGCTAACATTTTACAAGCTCAATTTGAACTTTAATAAGATGTTTCCTGTTTTAGTTTTATCCTGTAGCTATAAAACAATTCATGTCTGATTTAGCGTCTGTTCATAAGTAAAGCTAGAACCACTGAAGTTGAAAAGTAAGAAAAATCTGTATATGTTTATGTACAGTAAGCCACCCTTGAGACCTGAAGCTAGAAAACTGTGGCTGGTCATTTTCTCTATCTGGCCATTTTTGTAAGGACTTGTAAGGAATATTGTGTAAGGATGCCAGGGTCCAAGTGCTTGGTGTCCTTGGATGCCAGAGATCTCTTAATGGCTCTTTTTCTGGACATTATGGCTATTTTAACTTTGGCCCAAATTATTTCCTGCCCCAAAATACTTTTTCCTAATGAAAGTTCTGCTAAAAATGGTTAGACTAACAATATTGACTCCCTGGTGCGGGTTTTGTTTTTATAGCTACCTATATACATTGTTTAACTTGTAAAAATTCAGGCTTCGCTTTTTGATGTTAGGAGTATTTTGAATATAACTGTCCCTACTATTTTAGTAAACTCCAAAATGAAAACGTAGCTTTTAATTTTTAAGATACTGAAAAAAACACCAAATTGTGAAATCTTTCAAACTCCAGGAAGGAAATGATTTGGGTCTGGGGGACCAAGTAGGAACAGCGGCAGTGCGTGTGGGCGGTCTCTTCTGCCGACAGCACCGAAGGACTGGAAGGAGCGTGACAGGAAGGACAGAAATACATAGTGTGAGGGCTTTGGAGAACTGAGGAGCTTCGGAATAACTCTCAAACTTACACATATGCACTGTGATTTACGATAATTTTTTAGGTATGCATAAGCTACCTTCACATGTAGGTGAGTCCTCACCTCATTCTCCCTAGTTGCAATAAAAAATAATTTATTTGTGCTACTGTTTTTAAATCTCAAGTGTTATTTATCTTAAAGTACTAGGTAATTACTTGGTGCATGTCTTAAATGTTCTAAAAGAAAATAATTAAAGATCCTTTTCCTGTATCCCATTTTATTCTTTAAGATTATTCTTTGACTTGGTAAGTCTTTCATTTAAATTGAATAGAGGTCGGAGGAGATAATAGATTAAAAGGCTATCTGGTTTCTTATTTCATAGCTCCTTTGGGGAATTTGAGACCAATGTGAAAATTAAGGCAGTTGTGAACCCAAATCTTTTTTTGGTTCTTGAGTTCATTGTTGGTGGAATACACTGAAAGTTATTTATGGCAGACTTTATGATTCAAAGGTGTCAGCAGGTTAAGAGATTGCCTTCCTGTTTGGAAACTGCAATCTATGAGAGTGTGACCTACATTTTTCCTAAGTGTTTTAACTTCTATACCAATACCTTTGAAAGTAAATGATAGAAGATATTTGGTCTTCAAAAGAAAAGTCGATGTTTCTTATTTATCTGCTTTACTCCTTTTTAGAAACTGTATTTTAGCATTGAAACCAGAAACTATATTTTCACAAGCTAAATCTTAGCATTGAAATGAAATACCGGCTGTTCTCTCTGGAGAATAGAAAATTGATTATGATAAAGTAAATTATAACTTTTATTTTTTAATCCTCACCCAAGGATATTTTTCCATTGATCTTTTGGAGAGAGTGGAAGAGAGAGGGAAAGACAGAGAGAAACATTGATGTGAGAGAGAAACATCGATTGGTTGCCTCCTGCATGAGTCCCGACCAGGGCCGGGGTTGCAGAGGAGTCTGCAACCAAGGTATGTGCCTTGACCAGAATCAAACCCGGAACCCTTTGGTCCGCAGGCCGACGCTCTATCCACTGAGCCAACTGGCTGGGGCTAAATTATAACTTTTTAAAATATCCTAATCAGCACTTAAAAGTTTTCATTAGATTGTACATTATTTACATTTTTCACAGTTAATGTATACGTATTTTTTGTTAAATTTGACCGGTAAAGAATAGGGTTGTGTTGTTGTTTTTTAATGACTTGGTGGGTTTTTTCAGCAGCAATCAATGGAAGGATGTCTCCACAGATTGCTTTACAAATACTAATTTTTAAGTAAAGTATTATGGAATATTTTATAGAAAGTTAAAATGCTAAGGTTCAGTTTGATTGAAATGCTACATTCAGTTTTATTTGGGAAGGTACTGATATTTTTAACACCATCTTAAATCTTAAGTTTATTTGAATACATAGGTAAATATCACTTGTATACATCCAAAATTAGTCTTTTAATAAACAGGGGGCTCTTAGTCTTTTTTAAAAGATTAAGTAACAATAAAATAGTGACAGTTTACCATTTTAGTGACATTCAAATGTAACTGATTGTCAGTAGACTGGATGATGTGTGCCCTGTAATTCGTATTTATTTATTTTGAGAGGGTGTTTGTGAGAGCTGGGGACAGTGAAACAAAGGAAGGACTTAGGGTAGAAGAAACAACAGGAGAGCCGAGGCGGTGCTCTGCTTTGGCTCCCGAGAAACGTTGTAGGAAAGAAGGGAGCCAAGGCCGGGCTGTGGTTAGCCCACTGGGAAGTCAGAGAAAAGGGGGCCTTGGAGGCAGGACCAAGGGATTTGCCCGGGACGAACTGCCACTGCCCACTGCTCCCCTGGCTGCAAGGCTCGGGGAACCCTTAGATTTTAGGAGGAAGTAGAAAGTTCATGCCCAAGAAGGGGCATGGGTGTGCTGTGGAGCACCTCGCGGACCGCCAGTTGGCGACTGCTGCTGTAGAGCAAACCCGCAGCAGGTCTTTGTTTGGAGGGGTTTTATCTTTTTCCTGTGGGTGAGAATCTTGGGGGCATTTCAGCAGACTGTTCAGCAGCTCTCCAGGTGCGTTTTTAATTTGCTGATGCATCGGAATGAGCGCATAGGGGAGCTTGGGGTTATTCTTTGGTCTGCTTTATTGTATTACTTTTATCTCAGGTCTGTCCCGCTTTAATCGGGTTTTTGTTATTCTGTTTGTTCCCCCGACTTCATCTGTCCTCGGGGTTTAGCTCTGTGCCCTCTAATTTTGATTGTGCATCAGTCCTTTCTAAAAATATTTTGCTACTCTGATTTTAGATGTCTCTTAAAAAGAATACATTGTAAATTGAACCAGATTTTGGGTTACTGATTTCCCCTAAGATTGCTTTGACTAATGTATAATACCGCCTTTTTTGACAAATCACTGTGAACTTGATTGTTGAGATTTACAAATGCATTCATACTTTATTTTTAAAGTTTTTGATCTCCAAAGAAGTTTTATCAGTTGTTTAACCTTTGTCATTATGATTAATCGATTTTGAAAGAATAATTATTTGTGGACTTCTTTGTTTTAGGAGGCAGTTCCCATGTTATACTCAGCAGATCCTTACGGAGCATTGTAATGAAGTGTGGTTCTGTAAATTCTCTAACGATGGCACTAAACTAGCAACAGGATCAAAAGATACAACAGTTATCATATGGCAAGTTGATCCGGTATGTACTCTAGTATGAGTGTTTGATTGTTTTAAGTCTAATTGAGTACATGTTTAAAGTATGACATACAAATAGTATTTTGCAAGAACCGCTTTTGTCATCTCTGTCATGTCTTACCTCATTCTGTGTTGTCTAGACCATGGGTATAAAAATAATTAAAATTGTTGAGTGTGATATGCGAGTGATTGTACTAAGTCTGTGTGTGCATTAATTTACTCCTCTGAATAACTCTCTGAGATACAAACATCTCCTTTCTTTAAAGGAGAAAACTGATGCACAGGCTGAATGTCCAGGCTCTCACAGCTAGTAAATGGAAGAGTTAGATTCAAATCCAGGAATGTTTTTATTCCAGACCTGCTCTTAATGTCATTTTTATCTTAGTTAATACTTGATTTATGGATTAATATAATGCCCTTCTGTCACAAGTTAGAAAAGACTCATTACCGTTTTGCCTTTTGAAATCTTCCATTGTTTTGTGTAATTTGTGGAACTTCTGTTAAACACACACACACATACCCCTTTTTATTCCCAGTGATATATATGAACAGTATTGTATCCTGGATTTAAAATTCTAACTTCTCTCTAAAATCTGATTTGTCGTTGTGTGTAACCAGGTGACCTACAGATTTGTTGAAATAAGTATTTCCATTTCTTTCAGCCACTTGGACATTTATCAAGCAATCAAAGATGTTCACGGCTCCAGATAGGTTAAGGGACTGTATTTGGTTAGCAGTCCTTCACCTAAAATCATAAAGTGAATGATCTTTTTTAAAAAATTTAGAATTAGCATATATTAGCCCAGGATAAAGATTTTGGACTCCGATGTTGAAAAATAGAGAAAAGGATCCATAGAAGGAAGTATTTTTAACATAAGAGATTCAGATTTGAGGACATACATCAAGTCAGTTCTTGTGTATCTGTAACATGCTGTGCATGAGGAAAGTAAATAAGAGCTAGTCTTTGCCCTGAAGCAGGTGTTCTTTCCTTCTTGTTGTACCATGTGCTCCTCTGCCATTCTCATGACCCCGGGAGCCCCTCTGAGAACAATGCTTTTAAATACATAGACCAAAACACATAGGAAGCCCAAGTATATATTACATACTAATTACTAAGGAAACCCAATTATAGAGAAACATAGTTATCAAAGTCGTACAGATACAGTATAATAATACATTGCTTGTTTATTAATATATTGAATAACAAATTGTAACAGCAGACCTAATAACTACCAAAATTTTGAGGTAGTGAGCATAAATAGTATTTTGATATTTCTGCAACAACTGTAATGATGTGAAAATATTTGAGATTTTTATTAACAGTGTACTAATATGCTGCCTAATATAATAACTAACACTGTACCTTGTTAATTACCTACATTCAAGATTGAAGGAAATACGGAATTTTAGCCCATGGTTCATAAAAATAAAGATGTGCTTTTCCTCTCATTTATGTTCAAGGATCCCTGCTTCTATTCCTGTTTGACTCCTTGGAGATCTCAGGGACCTAGAGTTCAGGAAAGGAAATTAACACTGAAATAAGTATCACACAACATACATCACGTTTTATGAGAGCACACGAGCTTCCCAGGTAGAGCACCTCCTGTGAGCCTTGCTGTGCATAGCACAGGGAGAGACAGGAACAGGGCATTCTAGAAAGAGGGGGACTTTTCCTCACCCCCAAGTAGAATGGCATGCGTAAGGCATAGAGTGGGAAGTAAGGGTAGGAAAATAGTTTGGGATCCAACCATGGCCTTTGAGTACTACTCTTAAGAGTTGTATGTTCATTCAGCAGTTATTCTCAGATGTCTGAAAAGAGAGCAGGAATATCAAAACCGTGCTTTATTATGTTTTCTTCTCGCAGCAGTGTGTGAGAGCCACGTTTGTTTGGAAAGTAAGACATGTAAATCTCAGGTGAAGAAGAAGTAAATAATTACTTAGGCAAAGCTAGTTACCACTGGCCCTTGGATGAAAGAAAACATGGCAGAGCATTTGGGCAGTTCCGGGGAAGAGATTTCGTAGACTAGTAAGTGAGGTTAATGGATTCCGGAGCAGCCAGATGAAGAAGGCGCTTGTATACTTCGCTGAGGAATTTAGACTTCCTTGCCAGTGATTTCCAGAGTGCTTTTGTCCGAGTTCTGGTTGTGCAGAATGTTAATAGATGTTACGTGTGAAGGGCTTTTGTGGCCAGATTAGTTGGGAAATGTAGAGTTAATGCTTACATTCCGATCTGAGATGTTACGGTTTTAGTTTGGTATGATGGTATTTTGTTATGCCAAATACTATTTGAAAAATTTGTGAGAAAATTGGTGATCGTTTTGCGTACGTATTTTTAATGGCTTAAAAAAAAAAAAATCTTAGAGAACCTTAAGATTGAATTGCTGTGGTCCCACTGCCTAGTTTCTTTTAACGGGTTTTCTTACCTTTGCCCCTAAAAACAATCGTCTTGCCCATTCCCCCTGTCAAAATCTAAGCAAAATTAAGTGAATTCCATGAACATGGTATTTCTGCTTTGGGTAGATTAGTATAGAGAGACTGTTCTTGTGAGAATATAGTATTAATATCCTCTTTTTTTTTCAACTTTAGACCAAAGTCTGAAACTTACTGCCTTTTACCAACTCTGGTTACATTCCTACCTCTATTTCCTGTCCACATCCAGCAATATCTCCTAAGACAGAAATTTGGAGGTTGCCTTTGAACATTTCCTGTCTCGCTCTGTTCTATCAATTTTATGTCCTGAGAATAATTTGATCTGGCCTCTTTCACTCCCGACTGTGTTCATTTAGGGCCTCGTTTCTTGTCTTCACTCTGGCTGTTGCATTGGCTTGTGAAGGGCGTCCTTATCCTGTGTCCCTTCATTCTGATTCGTCTTCTACATTGTTGTGTGAGTTCTCTTCCTAAAGCCAAAGATCATCTATGTACTCCACACCTAAAAAATCGTAATGGCTCTTCACTCACAGGATAAAATTTACCCTAAAATAAAGATGTCATGCTTGTTACTTGCGACTTCCATGTTTGCTCTCTACAATTCATCCTGCACAGCCCAAGAGTATCAAGTTGTTTTAGAGTCAGGCTACCCAGGTTCAAATCCCTACTTGTAAACAGAGGCAAGTTCTACCCTCTCTAAATGGAGGAGGAGGAGAATACTTACCTTTCAGGGTTATGAGGATTAAATGAGACACTGTTTGTGAACAGTGCTAATATTGATTACCACCAAAGTGGTAGCTCTGCTGGTGGGAATGTAAAATAATAGTACAGACATTTGGAAAACAGTTTGGCAGTTCCTCAGAATATTAATCATGGAGTTGTGTATAATACTGGAATTCCACTCTTAGATAAGCTGCCCAAGAGAAGTAAAAACATAGGTCTGTACAGAAACTCATACATAGTGGTAGCAGCATTATTCATAATAGTCCAATGTTCATCAACTGATGAGTGAATAAACGAAGTATGGTACATCCATAAAGTGGAATACCATTCAACAATTTAAAAAAATAAGACACTGATACATTCTACAGCCATGCCAAGTTAAAGAAGCCAATTACAGAAGACCACATGTATGATCCATTTACACCAAATGCTCAGAATAGGCAAATCCATAGAGAAAGTGCAGTTGCCAAGGGAAGAGGAATGGTGAATGACTGCTAATGAATATTAGTTTCTTTTTGGGGGTGATGAATTTTAGGTATATGTTATATCTCAATAAAGCTGTTTTAAAAAATAAGTAAGAGGTAGCACTTCCTACTCCTACCTGTTTTTCGTTTCCTTGAAAGCCCCCAAGAGCATTGTCTGTGTCATCTTTATGTTTCCATCTAGCACCAATGTCTTGTGTAAAGTAGATGCTGCAGCATGAACAGGTCTTTCCGAAGCGAGTTGTCAGAGCTTCAGTTGGGGTGAAGTTGTGCACCTCCTCAGATTACATTATCAGAGTACATCTTTGTAGCTATATAAATTCTCATGCCCACGAAACAGTACTTTAAGGATGGAAGTTAACTAAGCTGTCTGTTTTTCCTCCTAGGACACACACCTGTTAAAACTGCTTAAAACATTAGAAGGACATGCTTACGGCGTTTCTTACATTGCATGGAGTCCAGATGACAACTATCTTGTTGCTTGTGGCCCAGATGACTGCTCTGAGCTTTGGCTTTGGAATGTACAAGTGAGCAAGTTCCATCCGTGGTGTAGCTTTTAAGTAAAGCATAGTCATACTGCACATTTTCATTATATGGAACAGAGCCATTCAACCAAAATTACCATAATGTGCCTCTTACAAAAGGAAATTCTTCAAATGGAACCCAAGGGTCCAGAAATTATACAAATTTAAATATTATGCTAAGTACAATTGAGTTTTTGGAAGAATGGTCAATAAGTATTTTCAGGAAAGCTGTACTATAGAAGTCTTGCTATTTACTATGGTACTTTGTATCTCCAAAAAGATTTTATATTTCGTAGTTTTCATAATTGTACACAAAACTTATCTTTCAAGTGTGAAGACATCAGCATTGAATCAGATTTTCTATTCTAATGGCAATCACACCATCTCCCTCCCTATATTTAATTCTTTATTTAGTTTAGTAAACCTAAATGATGTTTTCAGTACTTACTATTAAGGGCTTTATTGCTGTTTCTAAATGAACACATGAACTTTATCCAGGGCCCATTTTAGATAAACTCAGCATTAAGTTCACTCCATTACCTACAGTTTATGCTTTGGAAAACTTATAGTTAGGATTTTTAATTTTTTTTTATTAAAAACTTCCTTTGCGCCGAAACCGGTTTGGCTCGGTGGATAGAGCGTCAGCCTGCGGACTGAAAGGTCCCAGGTTCGATTCCGGTCAAGGTCATGTACCTGGGTTGCGGGCATATCCCCAGTAGGAGATGTGCAGGAGGCGGCTGATCGATGTTTCTCTCTCATCGATGTTTCTAACTCTCTATCTCTCTCCCTTCCTCTCTGTAAAAAATCAATAAAATATAAAAACTTCCTTTGCTACGTTGATTGATTAGGTGATTTTTTTTGTTTTTGTTTTTTGTTTGTTTTTTAATTCCTAGGCTATGATTTGAGTATAAAAGTATAAATTTCTAGGAATGCATTTTGAGTCTGGGGAACTTTATAAGTAAGTTGATTTTTACCAAGACAGTGAAGATTAAGCTGCATGGAAATGACTCAAATAAAGATAGAGGACAAACTGATACTAAGATGTACCTAAAGATGATATGCCATAATTTTAATCCTGCTATTATACCAGTAAAATTTTCTTACTGCTCAGTCATTTACTGAAGCTTCAGCACCAGCTTTTTATTAAAGAAATTTTCAAACATTAAGACAAGTTGAAAGAAGAGCCCGATGATTACGCACATGCCCACCATTCTAGATTCAGTGGTTGTGAACATTTGTGTGTGTGATACATACATACAAATATGCATACATACACATTACACGTATATTCATATTCACAACATGTCAAGGTAAATTAGATATATTTTACACCTAAATACTTAGCACGTATCTCAAAAAAAAAAAAAAAGTTAACATTCTCCTATATAATCAAGGGCCATTATCTTATCAAAGAACATTAACTATAGTTCTCTGTTATCTAATACTCATTTCATAATTTAAAATCCCAAATCATTCCCAAAGTGTCTTTATGCCATTTTTATCAAACCAGTATTGTATTTGGGGTTGAGTTCGGGGGGGGGGGGGCGGGGGGAGCAAAGCACAAAATAGAATATATGGCTTTCTCAATAAAATAGGTTTGAAGGGAATCTGACCTAAATGATAACAATTTTTCCCATTAAAGCTTTTTTCCCTCTCTCAAAAGAAAGGGAGTGTAGTCATAATCCTGTAATAGAGACTCTTAACTTACAGTACCTGTTTAGTCTTCCTTTGAGTCAGTTTTTTAATTTCTGGATAGTTAAACTATTTTTAGCTTAACTGTTTTACTGTGCATGACTTTACACACTTGTTCTAAAAGGGTGGTCTTTTTTAGTCAGTTTTCAAATTGTTCCGTTACGTTTTTAGGTAGGTTCCAAATTAGTAGCCTCATATACTCACTATCCTGAACATAATAGAAGGAAAGGCCATTTCAGAACTTAGTGTATTAACATTCCTGGATAGAAAATGCCGAGGGTTTAGCTCTCGAATGTGGATTTGTGCTTCTAAACTTCTATTTTAACCGTTTATATCAGCCAACCCCAAAATAAATAGGTGAGAGCAGTTAAAAATATGGGGGAAGGATTTAAGATTGCTGAATATTTTTTTCAGTGTAAGGGAGACATCTGGTTTTCTATTTTTGTGCCCCCATTTCCTGATCATACACTTTGTTTTCACTCTTTTTTTTTTTTTTACTTTTGATTACCCATTTCTCACAGGAGAGTTATGCCCACGTACTTTTAATTATGCCAAGGGCAGCTATTCTCTCTCATCCCGTTTCTAATCCATGAACAAAATGGAATCAAGACTAGATTAAATGGTATGTGCCTACCTTCTAAGTTGAATAACTTAGAGAAAACAGCAGGAGGCTATCTGAAGGTTGTAACCACTAAACAGCCTTGCTTATTAGTTGGGAATGCTTTAGAATGGCTATTGCTAAATAGTACAGAAATGCCTCTCTCTTTTCTGTTACTTTTAGTTGAAATAAAGTTACATATCAGAAAAATAATTTTCATTTCTCTTTTCCCATTTCCCTACTACATTTTGAGCATCTTGAATATGAAATTTAACACCCTTGGCGTAAAGGACATAGTTTTTCTACCTATTAGTAATGCTTCTGAGGAATATTTAAAATAAAATGTGGCCTGAGAAGTCGTGGCAACTCAGAAGGAATAGGTGTATAGTGTTACACTTTTCCTCTTACTTGGGGAAGATTACATGTTTTAATCTGTGAATGTAATTGATTTCAGATGAGAATTTTATTGGAGTTTATCTCAGCATAGCTATTCTTGGGGTCACTGGTGCCAGGCATTGTTTAACTCCTGGATTTTTCTTCAAGTCTTTAATTTCTCTTGTAAGTGCTATAAGCATTTTTCATAAGGCCAATGTAAGAAAACTAACCAGATATCCCAGTTAGTATTCTTTTTTTTTTTTTTATGTACACTTTCCCTTTACAGGGGTATCTTGAAGGTCTTATTCACAGTTTTATTTCTTTGTAGACGGGAGAGCTAAGGACAAAAATGAGCCAATCACATGAAGACAGTTTAACAAGTGTGGCTTGGAATCCAGATGGGAAACGCTTTGTCACTGGAGGTCAGCGTGGGCAGTTCTATCAGTGTGTGAGTATTTAGTTTTCCCTTTCAAATGTCTGCTTGTTTGAAAGCAAACTTAGTTCTGGCCGAAACCGGTTTGGCTCAGTGGATAGAGCATCAGCCTGCGGACTGGGAGGTCCCGGGTTCGATTCCGGTCAAGGGCATGTGCCTGGGTTGCGGGCACATCCCCGGTGGGGGATGTGCAGGAGGCGGCTGATCGATGTTTCTCTCTCATCGATGTTTCTAACTCTCTATCTCTCTCCCTTCCTCTCTGTGAAAATCAATAAAATATATTTTAACAAACTTAGTTCTGTTTAAAGAAAAATTCACTTGAGTTTTATAAAATATTAGAAGCCCGGTGCACAGATTCATGCACCAGTGGGGTCCCTCGGCGTGGCCTGCGGGGATCGGGCGAAACCGGCAGTCTAGTGCCGCCTGCTGCTCCTGCCTGCCATTCCTACTCATCTCGGCCCCGCTGTGCCTGCCATCACACCACTCGATGCCGCTCTCTGCTGCAGTCTCCAGGCTACGGCAGCCAGCCGGGAGCCCTGTATCTGGCACCCCTCGGTCAGCTGAGCGGCACTTGTGCCGATAGAGTGCACAGGCCACCAGGGGGCAGCTCCTGTGTTGAGTGTCTGCCCCCTGGTGGTCAGTGCATGTCGTAGCGACTGGTCATTCAGTCTCTTAGGCATTTATGTACATAGATAATATATGGCCTGGCCAGTGTAGCTCGGTTGGCTGAGTGACATCCCATGGACCAGGAGGTTGCCCGTTCAATTCTCAGTCAGGGCACGTGCCTGGGTTACGGGTTCTATCCCCATTGGGGGGCATGCAGGAGGCAGCTAGTCGATGATTCTCTCTCATTGATGTTTCTGGCTCTTTCCCTCTCCTTTCCTCTCTCTAAAATCAATAAAAATGTATTTTTAAAAATTAAAATATACTATATGAAGACCTTATTTTAACTATTTTAAGTGTTTGTGCAAAGTGTAGCTCATGAGTTTAGTAAAATGTTTAAAATTTGTTTTACTAAGTTTGTGTCTAAACCTTTAGGATGCGTTACTTGTATAGTGGTAGTTCCCGAATCTGTGAAGTGCCTCTTAGTGCTTTTAATATTCAAAAATCTTGATCTTTAGAGCACGTTACAAATTTGGTGACATAATTTTAAAAAATGACATAACATATTCCTAAGTTTTATAACTGTAATTACAGTGTTGGTAATCTTTACATGTCTCAACTTCTGAATATGATAGGACAGACCCCTCCCGGTATAGTGAATTTTAAAGGAATGTTTGAATTGTTTTCTAATAGTGAGACATTTACTTGGAGCTTAGGAATTCTTTCTTTCTTTGTGTTGATCTGTGTGCAGGGTTTTTGAAGGGAGGACAGATTGGCAGAGATGCTCGCCCCCTCCCGCTTTGGTTTCAGTGTAATGAAATTTGACTTGTGTTCAGATTTTCATGATTAAAAACATTTAATAGACAATCTTATTACAGAAAAATAAGGAATTGCTTTGTTTCTTTGTTTGCTTTCTGAGTGGTGGTTGTTTATTTTTAATGACCAAGGTCATTGTCATTTTCTCCTGCTCAGGATTTAGATGGCAATCTCCTTGACTCCTGGGAAGGTGTGAGAGTGCAATGCCTTTGGTGCTTGAGTGACGGGAAGACTGTTCTGGCATCAGATACACACCAGCGAATTCGAGGATATAACTTCGAGGACCTTACAGATAGGAACATGTAACTATTTTTTGTATTCATTGAATAACAATTATCTGGTTTATATTAAAATGTGTAGTTGAGCCCTGGCCAGTTTGGCTCAGTGGATAGAGCGTAGGCCTGCAGACTGAAGAGTCTTGGGTTCGATTCTGGTCAGGGGCGCATGCCTGGGTTGGGGGGCTTGGTCCCCAGTGGGGGGTGTGCAGGAGGCAGCCAATCGATGGTTCTCTCTCATTGATGTTTCTATCTCTCTCTCCCTCTCCCTTCCTCTCTGAAATCAATAAAGATATATTTTTTTAAATGTGTAGTTGAACTCGCTCTTCAGAAGAGTTTTGTGGATTTGGTGTTAGTTAATTCTGTGGTGATTTGGCTTGATGGTCGGGTGATGCTGAGTAATCCTTAACTCAAATTATATTTCTTGTAATAATGACTACAGACAAAGGTGTGATATTAAACTAGAACATTTTACATTTTAATAATTTGAATGCCTTGATTCCTAGTATGTTGCTTTTGACAAATTGTTTTCTGCTTACAGAGTACAAGAAGATCATCCCATTATGTCTTTTACTATTTCAAAGAATGGCCGATTAGCTTTGTTAAATGTAGCAACTCAGGTAAGTTAGTTAATATGATTCCCAGAAAAATTTATCTTAGTTCTAATTCTAATTGTGATTTTTATTATAAATATAAACAGAAATATTTATACCACTTATTAAATTATACTGCATGTGTTTGATCCTAAGTGCATAGAATCAACTCTAAATTTGTCAGAACATTGGCATTTTACATAAATAGAAAATGAAAATGTTCCATTAGGGAAAGGGATATTCACAGATGATTTTTTAAAACTCTTTTTTGAGTTGGTGTAAATAAATACCTATATTCTCTTTTGTCTACAGGGAGTTCATTTATGGGACTTGCAAGACAGAGTTTTAGTAAGAAAGTATCAAGGTGTTACACAAGGGTTTTATACAATTCATTCATGTTTTGGAGGCCATAATGAAGACTTCATCGCTAGTGGCAGTGAAGGTAAATCATTTGTGTCACTGTCCTTTCACACGTATTGGTGGGTTTAAAGTTCTGTAATTTTTCCAATATGTGAAGGTGGGCATGTCTCCAAGCAAGTTCAGATGTTAAATTTAAAGTTGTAGGAGTTATTTTTCCAGTACACTGTTAATTTCTCCTTTTTTGGAATGACTTGAGTCTTATCAGAAATCAATAGTGTTGCCCTGACCAGTTTGGCTCAGTGGATAGAGTGTCGGCCTGCGGACTCAGGGGTCCCAGGTTCGATTCCAGTTGGGGGCATGTACCTTGGTTGTGGGCACATGCCCGGTGGGGGGTGTGCAGGAGGTGGCTGATCTGTGTTTCTCTCTCATCGATGTTTCGGACTCTCTGTCCCTCTCCCTTCCTCTCTCTGAAAAATCAATAAAATATATTTTTAAAAAAAGAAAGGAAAAAGAAATCAGTAGTGCCTGTTCTGACCATGTGGAGATGTTTGGTGCATGTATCAAGTCAGGAGTTAGTTAAACCTTTCATATGTTGACTTATTTTTTTCATGAGACTAATGTTTTTTATCAGAGGTTAGTATATAAAAAGTCAAGGTTAATTTGATGTTTTACCTGAACTTGCACAGAATTGACTATAGGTAGATATATGGCATTTCTTTAATGGCCTAAGATAGTAATTTAGTTTGATAATTCATATGGTCTCAGAAAGGCTGAAATTACAGAATTGTCTCTACCACCTTTTTAAATAAATTTATGCTGCAGTCTAACAGCATTAGTATTTCAGGCAAGCATGTGCCTACAGTAGTCAGTCTCACTTAAATATATAAATTGTTTAAAACATGTAAGCACAAATAAGTAAGGCAGTATTAAAAATTAGTGTACTTTTTAAGGTGAACGAAAAAGAAACATAATATAGCAATTTTTCATTTAACACATTTTTCTTGGGAACTTACTATACTGTTGTAAGTACTACGACAGCAAATTATTTACATCACTTTTTAAAATACTGTGAATCTGCTTTTACAAGATACTCCAAGGAACTGGATCATGTTGCTAAATACTTTTGGGAACGTACCATGTTTTACATAAGATCTTTAGTGTCCCAATCTTGCCAAAAAGCTCATCTCCATAAATAAGAGGATCACATGTGATCCGTGAGTTTTTCCTGTGTGTATAAGGTCTGTGTAAGGATTGGGACAAAAGCAGACATTTAGGAATTCAGACTTGAACATGAAGTATATGAATTTATTCTCCACCCCCTCTCGCCCCCCAAGTCGGTGACAGACAGCATTTAGAGGAGAGAAGAGTGATTCGTGAGGTGACAGTTGAGAGTTTACTTCTCTCCAGTCAAAAAATCTTTTTACCTGTTAGTTCAATGTTATGTTCCCCTGATTCTCTGCTGGTTTCTATCTGGATGTGGTCTAAATACAACCTCCTACTTGCCTTTTAGCCTCTCCTACGCTAAGATCTTTCCCCCGTGCTCTCTTCAATCATGCTTCTGGTGGGTTTTCCCCTCTTAATTATTCCTCACAACCCCCGGTAGCTCTTAAAAATAAAACGTTCTCTAGAAGTGCTTTAATATGTGTGGCTATCATTATCCCTAGTCATGCTAATCTTTTCAGAATTAAGTCTGATGATGCCGAAACCGGTTTGGCTCAGTGGATAGAGCGTCGGCCTGCGGACTGAGAGGTCCCGGGTTCGATTCCGGTCAGGGGCATGTACCTGGGTTGCGGGCACATTCCCAGTGGGAGATGTGCAGGAGGCAGCTGATCGATGTTTCTCTCCCATCGATGTTTCTAACTCTCTATCTCTCTCCCTTTCTCTCTGTAAAAAATCAATAAAATATATTAAAAAAAAAAAAAAACAGAATTAAGTCTGATGAATAATGAATAATGTAGTTACACCACATTATATTCTGGGTAGGGCTAAACATGAAACGTTTATTTTGAACAGCATGTGGATATAGTGAGTGTATTATCTCTGAAGGTGACCACAGTAATTCATTTGTCATTTATTTATAAGGAATATATTCCAAAGACCTTCCAAATTCACAAGTATGTGAATGCCAATATCAAATAGAGCAGTTAGAAAACCTTTCCCCCCAGAAAGCATGCCTTTCCCACAGCCTTTTCACTGTGCTGGCAACAGATAGGAGAACTACTGATGGTGCACCTTTGCGTAAGCTCTGGGCTCCCTAGATCGGGGCGCAAGCAGGGCTTGATCGCAGAGTTGTCATTCTGACCCTGACTACTTGTGGCTGCCTCTTCGGGAAATATCCTCCTTGGATATGTGTTCATAAAAGCATTTTCCTCCAAATGTAGCAGATTTTGGTTGCATCCACACTTTCTCTTTTGTTGACTTCTTCAGTTCAAGAAGAAACAACTAATCTGCTCTCTCTCTTTTTGCTATTTGCATTTTATGCAAGAAAAAAAATATTTTCGAAAATTACTGAACAACAAGTACTTTCTAGGAAAGACAAATGCAGTTCTTCAATGACTGTCTTAGCTTTTGCTTCACATACACACACACACACCAAAAGTTCAGATACAGTCCCAGCGTTTCATCTTTGCTTACAAGTTTTGAAACCAGGGCATATTTCTTTACCAGTTCACACCTTTCACAACTCAGACACTTCCTCGTTTGGCAGCACACCCCCTGGAAGTTCCCACATTGACCAGTAGATCGTCAGGTTGAACACTTTTCTGATTTACCTGGGATTCTGCCTTCTGTTTAAGAACCACCACCTACATGTGTTGGCTCTTACGGTAACACATGATGTTTACTGTGTGCTAGACTGTTCACAACACCTTTTCCTATGCAACTGCTCTGTCCTCGGAACACGGCGAGGAAGTGTGAATCCCCACAGTCAGAGGAAGCGTTGCAAAGCGTGGGCATCGTGCCCAAAGTTACACGGCTAAGCCAGTGATGGAGGGAGGGTGTGAAGAGTCATCTGACCACAGAGCCCGCACTCTGAACCACTGTCCTGTATTGTTTGGTTGGGTGTGTGTTTTGTTTTTTAAAGGTTTTATCACAAAGTAACAAAGTTGTGGGGGGTTGGGTTTTTATGGTCATTTCATGGGGTTATAAATAGCCGACTGCAAAGCCATATGATGATGCAGATATGGGACAGTTGTCTAGACTCACTGGAAAGCTCCTGAGAGGGCCTCCTGGATGGCAGTCCCAGCTTCACCATTTACTAGCTGTTAACCACGGGCAGGTTTCAAAAATCTTGTCTCTGAAAGTGGAGTAAGCATAGTTCCCACCTCACAATGGTGGTGAAGATTAAATAATATATGTAAATTCAAAAAATAATAACATGTACCTAGTACATTGTAAGCACTCAGTCAAGATTGAGCTGTTATCCTTATTATTGCTACTTTGAATTTGGATACATTGCTTTTCTGTCACCACATTTCCATAGAATTTATCATCTCTAACCTACATTAATGTATGTATATTTTATTAAAGTGGCTTTTCATCAGGTAATTTGTTAAACTGTTAATGTTATATTTATTTTTTTTAAGCTCTGATGGTCAAGCCATGTGTTCTCTGTGTGTGATGAGGCTGATTTTGTTAATACATAACTATTTCATAACTGTTCTCTGAATTACTGTTTATTCAGATCACAAGGTTTACATCTGGCACAAACGTAGTGAACTGCCCATTGCGGAGCTGACAGGGCACACACGTACAGTCAACTGTGTGAGCTGGAACCCACAGATCCCATCCATGATGGCCAGCGCCTCAGACGATGGCACCGTTAGAATATGGGGACCAGCGCCTTTTCTAGACCACCAGAATATTGAAGGTAACACCACTGCCCAGCTCCCCGTCTCCTCTCCAGGTGAAACGGCCCTGCTTACTAGAAAGTTGCAGCAGTTTAAAGTGTGGGGTATCATTTATCTTCTCGCTTTTATAGAGATTGTGCACGCACTCCTCATTTGGAGTTCAAGTACTCTAAGATACAGTGTTGTTTTTGTGGTTTCATTGGTGGCAGAGGGAGAATAATTAAGCACCTGCCACCTCATTTTCAACCAGTTAGCTAGTTAGTGGTGTCACTTTAAAATCTTAGAGAAATCTTGAAGCATTTTATACTTCAAACTCAGGAGAACGAACTAGTACACAAAATGTGAGCAACTTTAGAATGATCTTGATTATGGATTTTACCCTTAAAAATAAACATCTGTTAACAGCATGTAGCATACTAGCGTGAGCTATGCATGATGGATAGAGAAAGGGAAGGGAGCTACTGAAATGTCTTGTACCTGTGTGCCAGGCAGCATGCTAGGCTTGTATATGTATGCCCCATAAACCTCCATGGCCCTAAAAGGGAAGTGTGCTCACCCTCATTGCTGTGGGGAGAAAACTGCTGAGGCTGCAGGTCTTGCACATCCAGGCCTGAAAGGTGGTTCCCCTGCTTCAAAGACTTGGAGGTGAAGAAAGAGCTTAACTGAGCCCAGATCGCAGCACTAGAGAGAAGAGGTAATGAGAAACTCTATGTAAATGACATACCCTTCTTTTTTCAAACAGAGCAAGTAAAATGTGTAGTTTGCTTAGGAGGAGCTAATTTACCTAGAAACAGATTGTTTTGTTCATAGTGTGTCCCACTGAAGTGTTTTAGTAAGAAAGACGACCCGCTGCTCTCGGTTAAGTTATTCTCACCAGAGGACGGTTGTCAGGACAGCGTCTGTGGTTTGAAAAAGCCTCTTCTCTATGCTTTTATTTTGTTTATCTTTGTGCTACAAACGATAAAAGCCTTGGCCAGATCTTACGGGCAGGTGAGGATGTATGGCCAGAGATGACGGGGAAACATGAAGAGCATGTGGGTCACAAAGTTTTGAGAACTCCTTCCCGGGTGTTCAGACCGTGAAGGGCCTTTCTGTATTTGTAGATCACCACGTGACTTTCCAACATTCCTTACGGGAAATCAACTAAGCCCAAAAAACTTAACCCCCTTTTGTTGTCCCATTTAGATGTCAAGACCTACTCTCTCAGATGTTTTATAAATCTATAACTATAATTATATGTGCTTTTCTAACTTTATCCGTCATTTAAAAGCTCTTTCTTTAAATAAGCATATTTGATTTAAAGAAGTAGGAAAATAGGTTTATCGTAAGAGATTTATTGTAAGTGGGTTTGTTCTAGAGCTGCCTGAGGATGTGTGTACTGCAGTGGGATCGAGGTCACTGCTCGTTGGTGGGTGTGATTGCTGTGGATACTCACTGCAGTATGTAAGCCAGGCGTTAGCTCAGCTGTGGGGTCGGGGTCTAATTCAGCAACTGTCCATTGTATTTTGGGTACATAGGTATAGCCCCCAAAAGATTTTCACTTATACCTAAAATAGAAAAAAACTTTTACAATTAGAAATTTGGTTATATGCCTTTTATACAGATATCTTCTGGGTTCTTATTCCCCTGCTTGAAAACATGTTTTTGTGTGTGTTTTTTCTAATTAAAGTAATACCTGTTTGGAATAGAAATTTTGAAAAACATAGATGAAACTAAAGAAGTTGCCATTTAAAAATCATAACACCCCAAGATATGCTATATATGTCATTTAAATAAAAATTTGTCACTTAATTCCATTTCAAAATAGAGAATTTGCTAACCTTTTATTATAATAGTAGAGTTTCATACTGTGTGTGCGTTTTGTTTTGTTTTGTTTTGTTTTGTTTTGAGGAATATATAAAATGGAATAGTCTCAAATACTAACATATGCTAAACTTGGATGAACCTTGAAAACAATATGCTAAGTGAAAGAAGCCAGACACAAAATAGCACATATTGTGATTCCGTTTACATGAAATGGGCCTGAATGGGCAAATCCATAGAGACAGAAAGTAGACTAGTGGTTGCTTAGGATTGGGGGTGGGTGTTTGTATATGCTAATGGTGATGCAAATGTTCTGAAATTGGTTGTGGTGACGGTTTAACAATCCTATGAATATGCTAAAAACTATTGAATTGTACACTTTATTTTTTTTTTTAAATATATTTTATTGATTTCTTACAGAGAGGAAGGGAGAGAGATAGAGAGTTAGAAACATCAATGAGAAACATCGATCAGCTGCCTCCTGCACACCCCCTGGGGATGTGCCCGCAACCCAGGTACATGCCCTTGACCGGAATCGAACCTGGGACCTTTCAGTCTGCAGGCCGACGCTCTATCCACTAAGCCAAACCGGTTTCGGCGAATTGTACACTTTAAATTAGTACATTGTATAGCATGTGAATTATATCAGTAAAGCTGTTGATACATTACACGCCCCCTCCCCCCAAAAAAAGTAGGGTGATTTTGCAGAATTTCAAACTGAGCTACTAAAAGGAGAATTAAGTATATAGTTATAATGCACAGTTCTGCCTTGGACTGCCATATATGTCTTACTGTTATAAACTGTCATAAAGATTTTCCTATTGTGCATAACTATTTCAAGGTTCATTTTAAAAGTAAAAGATTCCAATATGATTATTCACTTGAGTACTGCAATATTCAAAATGATCATGAGTTTAGCTCTAATGTATAGTCTGAGACATGATACAGGTACATCCTTTTAGTGATTATGATAAAAGTACTAAGAGTTTGCCTTTATGTGTTTGGTTTTTTTAATATCATGGTGTTGATTTTAAAACTTTCTAACTGGCAACTTTTTTCTCCCCCTCCCCTCTTCTTCCTCTCACCGCCCTTCCCATATACTCCTGTCTTGTCTTCAGAGGAATGCAGTAGCATGGATAGTTGATGGCGAATTTGGAGCAGACGACTTCTGTTTAACTTAAATTAGTCGTATTTTAATGGCTTGGGATTTGGTGCAAACAAACATGATTGATAGCTGGACAGACATGCTCGTCATGAAAAAAAGAACCATTTCTGAAGCCCGATTGGGGCCAAACATTTACACCTTGCTTCATAGTAACCAGTGAGATGAAGCGCGTCGTTAGAACGTTGTTGGACACCATGTTGAATTCTCCCCCATCGGTTGTGAAGAACTGTGCTACATTCAGGCTTACCCATTGAACTCAGTATATATATTTTCCCCCCCTGCCTTTTGTCTGGGGGGATACCATTCTTGTTGCTCTTCTGTGTAATGAAGTTTAAAATGCTTGTTTGGAAACTTTATTTAACAGTTTAGAAGGCTTGATAGAAAGAGTGCATTAGTCTTGAAGAGTATACATTGGATAGGAAAGAATTTCCTCCTTTTGTTTCTCCAAATCTTTCCGCCTTATTTAGCTTGAGATCTTTGCAGCTTGGTTCATGGATTCTAGCCTTGCCCGTTGCACAGTATATACAGATCCAGATGATAAACCAGTGAACTATGTCAAAAGCACTCTCAATACTACATTTGACAAAAAGTTTTGTACTTTTCACATAGCTTGTTACCCCGTAAAAGGGTTAACAGCACAATTTTTTTAAAAATAAATTAAGAAGTATTTATAGGATCAAAGTGACTTCCTTTGTATACATTTGGAATCTAAACCAGCTTAAAAACAGTTTCCTCTGACTCAGATGCGCAGTGCAACTGACGCTCTTCTGGAATGCCACCTGAGACATGGTCAGAAGCAGTGTGGGAAGGACGTTACACAGGACATTCAGAGTAATAATGCGAAGGTTTGCCCCTTTTGTTTTATTCCTGAAGTAACATCAGTACCTGATCTTGAAGAAATTCAAGATTTAAAAAGAATGTTAAATACAATCAACATGAGAGATCAGCAGTCAGCTTAGGCTTTTGGCAAAGCTTGTTCCCAGTTGTTCTCAGCTTGGGAAATGTTTGGTGTGATCTAGCAAGAGAGCAGACGCCAGCAGATAATAACCACTTTGGAAGTTTCTAGTATAACTGCTCGTTAGAAGAATTCAGCGGGTTACAAACATATTTAACCTGGGTTTAAAACCTCATAGTCATTTCTCTTAATTGCCCTTAATATTTTGACATGTAGGGATACATACATTTAAAGAATCTTCCTTGTGAGTTTTTCAGATATTGCCATACTGAACCTCATTCTAAACTGGTGCTGTGGGTAGTCTTTCCCTCTCCCCTCCCCTTTTAGTGTAAGGAAAGGTTTCCTTCATGGAAAAGCACTTTTAATTTTGAGAATTTCACATTTCAAATAAGCCAAAAGCCTGGTGTTCACATTGTGCTTTTAAGTTCGTAACAGCTGAATGCAACATCCTTAGACTCCTTTGAAATTCCCTCCCTTTTTCAGTAGAAGATAAATACAGTGACCACAGCTGTTACATTGGGAAGAGGAGTGGGAATGCATGCCCCCAAAATAAGATTCTGGTGAAGAAAATCTTGAACTAAGTTCCCCATTTGGCCCAGCCAAGTCTATATTATTACCATGAGTAGACTCGAGGATCCACGAAGAAGGGAAAAACTTGGATGTCAGAAATTCTTCCATTGGGGCTGAGGGGTTGGGGATGGCAGCAGAGAGACGGGAAAGTCGGGGAAGGGGAGAAGAAAGAAAAACACAATTGGCCTTAAAATAGCACGGATTCTCCCAAAAGCTCTCCTAGTCAGAGAAAATGACAAATCGTGGTCAGCAGATTATTTTATCAAATTGGTATGTAAAAGATTTCTTTAAGCTCCATTTTGCAGAGATCATTACTTAGAATCAAGAATTCCTGTTTTGATACTTCTAAGTTAAGATACTATATGTTACAGTTTATCTGGTACTTCATTTTTCTTAACTACAATTACTTTTTACTTTAAGCTTGAATAAAAAATCTTCATTGGTAACTGTATATAATTAAGTGGCAACTTCTCTTTACCTCAGTACAGTTAAATCCATATTTTAAGTGATTCATGTATGTACCCTGAAGCCGTTAATACACCCCAGTCTACAGTAACTCACAGAAAGTGGGCCTAGGCACTCCACAGCTGTTTACAGACATGGTTACGGCGTGTCCGGGGACATGGTAACGCTCGCTGAAACGTGTGCCCCTTCCGGGCAGTTAGGCCCTCGGCTTCTGCTCTCCGCCACCCCGCCGCCCCGAGGCCTGCGTTTTCAGAGTGCCGCTCAAGTCCAGTGGCAAACACTTTGAAACAGTGGAGTGAGCGGGAGGCACATCTCACCATGACATAACTCCCTTAAAACGGAGTCACAGCTATGCAAAGGTTTCTGCAGCAGCTAGCTGGGTGAGTGTGTTTCCCAGGTATGTCTGAACTGGCCGCTTTCTACATACACTGGTACTTTGCTGTGCCAGTTTGCTGTAAATGTCTGTCCCCTGCATTTGCCATGCTGTGATTGTGCTAGAAAGGTGAAATAAATGAAGAAACCCAGGGACTTAGGTACAAGGAGCCCAAGAGCAGGACGGCCTACCCCTAGATGTAACGGAAAACTGTAGTGTGGCATAGGGTGAAGAGTGAGAATATACGGGAGAAAACTCTCAAACCAGCCGCAAGATACTAACAAATGTATAAACTGAAAAGTACCAATACTTTTTGCACATAGATCAAAATAGAGTGGAGAATTTTGGCTCCCAAAAATCAGGTTAGTAGGCTCATTTCCATGTGCTTAAAAATGTTTTTTGTTGTTGTTATTCATTGATGAAGGGCTAGAGCAAGTATGAAATTAAATGTCTTTTTCCTCCGAATAATTGGTTATTAATAGTACAGTGTTGGATTTGGGGATTACTGAGACACGTATGGGTGGTAAAGAATTAGGAGTGGAGAATTGGGAGGGATGGCTACGCTTCAGTTTTGGTTTTTGTAGTTTAATTACTAGTGTTCATGCCAGCTACCTTTCTGTTACTCTTATTGGCCAGGTAAATGTGTTACATATAACCAGGTAAGTAGTTTAAACGGAGGAACTTTTACTTGCAAATGCCCCTGCAAATTGGCCTATTTTAGTGGGTGGGAGAACAGAAAGGGATTACCTGACTTTAAATATAAACTAAGTAATTAAAATAACCTGCTAGTTGCAAAGGGGAAAAAATCCAATTTTGTATTTTCTTAATCTGAAATCACACTAGTAGTGATCTGGCGATTTATTATTAGGAGTGTTCTCCCTCTAGAGTGGCATTCCGTGACATTAATAGAAAACCCTTCTTTCCCACCCCTCCCCATCTTGAAATTTTCTTTTTTAGGATGTTGGTTCCTGCACACAAGAACCTCTGCTCACAGTGGTAAATACATGGTACATCTCTTGAAAGGGACATATCCATGTCAGTTTCTTTCACAGCAGAAGATGGCTGCTTTTGAATGGGGAGGAAAGAAGACATTTTTCTTAATATCCTTTTGCCCCATCTCTAAAATGTATACGCATTTTGATTTGGGTTTAATGTCTCACTTAGACGTTAGCATCTTTCTTTTGGGGTTGCTTTCCAAAATAGTACTTCCAGTCAAAAACCATGTTTGACTTAATATAAACAAACTTAAAGGGAGGTGAATTTCATTTTCACATGGACACTTTCTAAAAACAGGGTGAACTTAATTGAAATTTCTCAATGTTGTTAGGCTGTTGTTATAGTAGCTGCCCTATATAGTTGCAAAAACAAAAACGATAAAAACTCATCCCCTATCTACTTAATCCAGATAGCCTGGATGTAATGGAATTCATAGTATAAAAATGTGTGTGTTGTGTGTCTGTGGAAGAGAGAGAGTATTAATTCATAAAAGGCCTGGAAATGGCTGTTCTAGGCTCCTGTCAGTTTTACTAAAAGTCTTGTGCACATGCGAATGCCCTCTGAATTGAAGGTTTGGTTAATACTGGTATATTTTTATAAGACTGATACGGTGTCCCGATCTTTGAACTTAAACATTTTCATTATCAGGGTCAATGTGCTAAAACTGAATCGTAACATTTTTAGGCACAGATGGAAAAAAAAATGTTATTGGCTCCTTGAAAATGTGTGTGTGGCGAGGGGACTAGATCCACAAGAGCATGTGTGTCCTTACAAACCAAGCTGGAGAGATCAAGAAAAGAACTTGTGTTGATCTCAAAGTGTACATGGCATTGTGGTGGAACTAGTTAACGTTAGAGCTTTTGGTATGTAATAACTACTTGCTGTGGACTGATTAAATGTTCCAAAGGATTGTGTTCTTAAATTTGGGGGGGTATTGTTTTTTGTTGGTTTGTGTTTGTTTTTTAACTGCCTCTCAAATTATATTTAGTACTTTAAATTTCTTTGCTTTATTATTTCATTAAAGCATAAAAAACTTCAGGTCTCTGATATTTATTTTCACTTGTCCCACTAATTATTTACGAAACACCCTTTGTTAAACGTTTATAAATGTGTAGCATATTAAATGTCTTTAGAATTCTGTTCAATTGAAGCTACATTAACTTTGATTTGTGTTACTGGTTTGTTTTTTTTAATACACCTTTCCACGTCAGTGCGTAGCACTTAACCAATCGTTTGTATTCCCTTTCAATCCAATAAACAGAATGAGTAAGTAATTGTTGCTGTGTTAAATCTCATAATATGCATTGATCTGCATGTTTTAGAACTGTTGTTACCTGAAACAACCAACTTGCTGAATTTGACTTTTTAAGTTGATGTCTAAGGAAGCACTGTTTTATCTGTTGGGATATCTTTCTAAAGAACTATTGTGTGGAATCATGGATTAACTTAGAAAAATTTACATTTTAAAGGAGTCACATATCCCACTCGTTCAAACATATTACTGATCTGAAATCATGCACTTCGGCATCGAATACATTGATTAGTAGAGAAAATATACTTCTAGTTTGAAATTAAAATTTATGTCATCATAATTGTATTAGTTCTTTAAAGATCTTCTTGGAGAAAAGCATTCATTGTATACAAACCTGTAGCACATGTGTATTTATGGGGGGAAAAGAAAACCAGTTGCCCCATGGGGTGAATTATTACAGAAGAGGGCTCTAAGATTTTTACTAAGAGTGGAGCTCTGTTCAGTAAAAGGAAGCTCAAATATGAAAAATTAGTATTTGGCAGGCAAATGCTGGCCGTCAGCTTAGGGTAGCAGAGCCACTCAGAGGCCAAGAGGCACTGCTTTGAGCCAGGGTTGCGGCTTCCTCTGGTCACCAGGCAAGAGCACAAAGGAGTTTTCCTACTGGTTTTCTTTAAAGACAGCTGTGCATTGCGGAGTGAGCTAACTCAGACTGTTCCTCTGCACTTCAAGCTTCATGCCAGATTCCCGCACCAGGAATAAAAACCTCCCAACCTTAAATCTAAGAGTAGAGAGTGGTATTTTAAAACAATTCCCTTCCACTTAAGAAAAGTTGATGGTCTTTGGTTACATCATTTAATGACTTCTTGAAATTTTTTCTAGAAAAAACTTAAAACTGCTAAAGATTCAACAAACAGTATGACCCCATCATGCTAATACTACCTCCAAGCATCTTAAGTGTCACCATTGACTTTGTGGCAGTGAGCTCTTCTCCCTCAGACTTTATTGGTGTACTTAACGTGAGCTTGCTAGATATGAAACAGTATTCTAATCACATAATTAACAAAATATTCAAGCAGCATGTAATTAATTATAGCTACCGCAGGAAATGGGGAAGGACGAGTTTCAGTCAAGTTTTCAATTCCATTTTGTCTTTTTTAATATATTTTTTTATTGATTTCAGAGAGGAAGGGAGAGACAGAAACATCAATAATGAGAATCATTCATAGGCTGCCTCCTATACGCCCCACACTGGGAATGGAGCCCACAACTTAGGCATGTGCCCCGACCAGGAATTGAACCGTGACCTCCTGGCTCATAGGTCCACACTCAACCACTGAGCCACACCGGCCGGGCTCACTCAATTCCGTTTTGGATATGAGGATTGGTGGCTTCTTTGGTCATATTGATGCAAGGGGGATCCCTCATATACATTTCAAAACTTTTTTCTTTTATAGCCTCAGGAAAAAGAGCTTACTTAAGACAAAGACGTAATTAGTCATGATGATTGACCATATCCACAATTCAAATTAATGAATGTGCTAAATGTTTTTCATTTAACTTTGAGATTTTTAAGCCACCTTACACCCCAAAAGTAACTTTATATTGTCAATTGGCACTGATCCACTCATAGGCAGTTTTGGGGATCCACAGGACTACCGTATTACTTCAGCAATGAGACCAAGAATTAGAAGCAGGAGCAAGAAGTGTACTGAGAGGGACCAGCCCCAAAGCTGCACGCCCATTTGGTCATTGAGGAACATTCACGCGGGACAGGTATTCATTTGGGCTAATGTATTGAATGCTTACAGTGGGCCAGTCACAATGGATGAGCCACTTTATATGCATTCTCACTTAGTTCTCAAAGTAACTTTACAAGCAATTTCCATTCTACAAAGGAGGGAAATAGGCTAAAACAAACCAATAGGTATAGAGGAGCTGGGCCTCAGGTAGGTGCCTCTGAGCTCGTTCGTAAGCACTACACCATACAAACCCCCTTAGTCTACAGACGGCCACTTGCCTGGGAATAAAGCTGACGGTTAAAACATGTCAACCCGTCAGCCCGGCCCGCATGGTTCAGTGGTTGAGCATCGACCTATGAACCAGGTCACAGTTCGCTTCCAGGTCAGGACACATGCCCAGGTTGTGGGCTCCATCCCCAGTAGGGGGTGTGCAGGAGGCAGCTGATCAGCAATTCTCTCTCATTGATGTTTCTATCTCTCCCTCTCCCTTCCTCTCTGAAATCAATAAAAATTTTTTAAAAGTCGGTGCTTTTTCCCCTTTACATCATTTATAGAGAAGCACCTGGAAAATGGGAAAAAAACTAGAGTTACCCCCTTTTCCTGGCTTTGTTGCAGACAAGCAATACAAGAACGGTGGTTTTGTGTTTTTAAGCTCAGTTCATGTCCCAAAAGAGCTGTCCTTTGTCGTAAACAAGGCACCTTCCGGTGCGTGCAGCCACCGCAGTGCCACCTGACAGCCTGTACACGGACAACCAGACTCACAACTGCGTGGGTTTGACGTGGGTTATTGAGAAAACTTGAAACAGAAGCTAAAACATTTCGGTCCACGGTCCTCCACCACCTTTTAGCTACTCCATGTAAGCTGCTGGCGTCTCAGTTCTAAGGATTTCAATTCTCCAACAGCTCCCGTTGCTGTCATAGCCCGAGCAGAACGTGAAGAGACCCCGGAAGTTAGGGAGAAAGGCCGAGCGAGGAGACTGAAAAGGTGCCTCAGGAAAAGGTTCAAGAGAGATGCAAGCAAAGTAACTTCTATGTTACAGGTTCTTGGCTCTTTGCCGGAAGAAATACGGGATAACCACAGGGAGCAGGTTCTGAGACCCCCCTCCCCAAGGCCAACAGAACCAGGTTCCCATGCCTGCTGTCTCACCGCTCCTTTCCAGTGCGGCCGGGGCACCACACCCACCCTGGAAACGTGGGCCTATCCGCACGGAGTTTTTGCTGGCTCCCTGGCTTCTGCCAAAGCTAAACCTAGTCCAGGGTCGAAAGGACATGCAATGTTTGATCCTTTGGTAACCACACGCCTTGTTTAGCCACCAATTCTGCCTCAACACAGGGAATCATCCCTTTGGCCTCTGCCATCAAACACCACGTTTTGCCCAAATGCCAACACTTAGGATGACAGCACAAACGAGGGCTGAGGACTAACTTCCAGGTTCACTCGCCCCGGCACACAGCCAGGGGTTAACTGCTCTCCCCAGCGGCAAGATTTGCCCGGGTAGCTCCAAGGAACCGTTCGGTTGGACGCTGCGGGTCTGAAATAGCTGGTCCTGCAGCTCCCACCGCGAGTGGCCAGTGCAGCAGGACAGCATCCAGGTAACCTGGCACCGTGCAGAGCGCTGACACCGAATGACTGGCTATTCCTGCCTCTAACCTGAGGAGCATCTACCAAATCGCCTCTCCAAGCCCACAGAAAGATGGCTGGGAGAGACCATGTGCAAATGGCTCAGGGAGCACACAAGCAGGAGAGCTGGCCAGAGCCGAGGGACTGCACAGGTCTGAGGGTGACTGTGAGGCAGCGGCTCTCACATGATGAAATCTCTCGGTTAATTTGTCCCCTCCCCAGAAGCAGGAAGGACACTGCACCTGGCAGATGGCTTACTAGGTGTCACAAATTCCATAAAGGAATATATGATCTTTGAAATGTCTTCTTCTGTTAAGATTCTGAGGAAAAGGTTCTAGCTGACAGTCCCATAAATCTTTACATTAAATACACGAAGCTGCCACGATAGAGGCGAAAGGGTAACTGACTCTCTTCCTCTGCCCAGGTTAGCGGGGCTGCTTTGTACTTGGCCTTTTCCGCCAACGTGATGAGCACCTCTGCTCGTCTGCACGTTTCCCTGTAAGTGTGCCCTCCCTTTCTCTGGCGAAGGTTGGGGTGGCAGTCCCGCTCCCACATCCAACTTACCATCTTCAACGCACAGACGATGACAAACACCTTCACATGTTGGGGTTCAGGCTAAAGTGGAGAACCAGAAATCTACAAAAACTCAATTCATGTTTTTTAAATACTTTATATGGTAAAAATACAGCAAAAATATTTTTTTGTTCAAAGAGGAAAAAATATACTGCTATGGTTACGGTCCTAAGGATGATGGAAGCATCTCTGGCTCCTCGACTGTGCACTGTACGTAGTGTAGCTGACTCCCACCACGGCTGCTCCAGCTTCAGTCATTTATCAACGCTAAGATCATACTGTGGAGAGAAGAAATCCGGGTTACCGACGTGTCCTTAAGGCACGTCCCACACAGTCTGGTGTGTCCCAACTCCTATCTCTAAGGCTCAACTAGGAACACCCATGTGAGTAAAAGACATTTATACCGAAAGAAAAGAAAGTCTATGTTGGGGTTTCTAGGTGCCCTGTTTTTTCACTAAAAATAAGGTAATCAAGGTGGGGGTGGGAATATAACCTAAAACCAATATTGAGCTGTCATTTAGGGAAAAACAAGCTATGTCCAGGAAAAGACCGAATTCCCTAGCCAGATCTTTGTACAGGCTAACCCTGTGCCTGCAGCCCGCCTCCCACCCTGCCCCGTCAACTGGGACAGTCCCAGTCCGGCCTCAGTCAGGCCTCTCTGGGAGCCGGCCCTCAGCCCAGGGCAGTTGCTCCGGCTCCTTCCACAACTCATCCTCCCGCCTGAGGCCTCCGTTCTAGCCCTGGATTGTGAGCTCTCCTGAGACGCGTGCTCTTCTGACCTGGGCATCGTCACTTTCAGATTCCAGAGTAACATCCAACTACAGCAATCCCAGGCTCCTGGCTTTCACCGAGGGATTGTGTTCTGCTCCTTTGTGTCACCTGACATGTAGCAGTCTCTCAATAAATACTCTATGAAAACCACCACAGTAACAAACTATCATTTCCTCTTACTGGAATCAGCTTTGCTCTACTGGGATCAAATGATGAAATACACAGAAATAACCTGGCATTACCAGTGGTATAAGTTGTTCAACACTAACCATACTGAGTGTACTCAGTGCACAACAGATTAATGGTAGTAACCAATTTTTTTTTAATATTTTTTTTTTAGAGTTTACTATAGGTCAGCACAAACCTCAGTGCTTACAGAGATTATCTCATTTAGTCCACATCACTGATAAGGTAGGTACTATTACTATCACATTTTCAGAGGAAGAAATTGAGGCACAGAGAGGTTAAGAAACCTGCCGCAAGTCACACAGTGACTAAGAGGTAGAGCCCAGATGTCCCTACACCAGTAACTAAACAAAAAACCAACGGCATAGATTCTACCAATCTCTAAAAGAAGACGGGCATTTTTTTCCCTTTAATTCTATTTAATAAACCCTGAATGAATGCCATATGCAAGGCACCCAGGCAAGCTGTGGCCAGCGACACAGAAAGGAACAGCATAAAATCCCTGCATTGGAAATCTGATGATTTTGGAAATAAAACCACTCAAACAGTAGCAACCACAAGCTAAGAGCAAAGGACATCTGAGACTATTCTTTCATCATGATCCCTTGAGCCATGGGTGGCTCCAAGGGGTAAGGTAACAGCAATGAGCCTAAAAATGACAAGCTGAGAAGAGAAAGAAAGGGTGCCGCTGACTCAGCCAAACCCCTTCCAGGTGGCGTGTCATCTACTCAGTTGTAAAGAACCACACCTTAAACCTGCCCCAGACAGCTTCCCGATTCCTCTCATCCCCGTCTTCAGCCCATATCTTCCCATTGCTTGAAATTCAACAACCAAGAGCTAAGAGACTGTCGTGCGTTTTTAATTCTTAAGGCTACTAAGGAAGACACTGCTCCCTGATCCTACATTCACTCCCGGAAGTGTGCCCACAGTGCTGTGCCCACAGCTGTCCCAAGAAGCTCCTGCTAGCAAGACCAGGGAATGGCCCCTCTACTCTGCTCCAACAATGTAAAACCTGGAGGGCTGGGGAGGATGAAGCAATAACCTTGAGCTAAGCTGATCCCCGCTTGCTTTTCGTCTCTTCAGAAATAAGGGAATATATATGATGATAAAGATACCTTCATATGGTTTAACTCAAAAAGTGGCAAAAATGAAAACAGGTGTACCATCGTGTTCTTAACATTACATTTCTTTGCTCTTTTTTAAAATATATTTTTATCGATTTCCGAGAGGAAGAGATAGATAGAAACATCAATGATGAGAGCGAATCATTGATCGGCTGCCTCTTGCACGCCCCCCACTAGAGATCGAGCCCGCAACCCAGGCATGTGCCCTTGGCCGGAATCGAACCTGGGACCCTTCAGTCCACAGGCCGGTGCTCTATCCACTGACCCAAACCGGCTAGGGCTGCTCTTTATTTTTCATCTTTAATACGAGGATTAAAAATTAAGCACATTAGCCCTAGCTGGTTTGGCTCAGTGGATAGAGTGTCAGCCTGTGGACCAAAGGGTCCTGGGTTCAATTTCAGTCAAAGGCACGTACCTTGGCTGCAGGTTCCTCCCTGGCCCAAGCCCTGGTCAGGGCTCGTGCAGGAGGCAACCAATCGATGCGTTTCTCTCTGTCTTTCCCTCTCTCTTCCACTCTCTCTAAAAATCAATGGAAAAATATCCTTGGGTGAGGATTAACATAACAAAAAAAAAAGCACATTAGCAGTGAGGTAGGGATAAGAGTCAGAAATTAATTCTAATGTGCTTTTCTGTCCTAGTTTTTAAAAAACAGAAAAGCAAGTAAGATAAATAGCGAAAAGGAAACTATCTAAACTCAACTTTAATCTACTCTATGCTAGTGGGTGAAATTAGCACAGCCAAAGGACTTTAGGAGGCCTAGCTATTCAGAAAGAACTAAAATGGCTCTGACTTCTGACAAGTTTTATTTTTTTTAATATATCTTTATTGATTTTAGAGAGGAAGGGAGAGGGAGAGAGATAGAAACATCAATGATGAGAGAGAATCATTGATTGGCTGCCTCCTGCACACCCCCTATTGGGGATCAAGCCCACAACCAGGCATGTGCCCTTGACCGGAATCAAACCCGGGACCCTTCAGTCCACAGGCTGACGCTCTATCCACTGAGCCAAACCAGCTAGGGCAACTTCTGACATTTTTTAAACCTGCTATCTCTATTCAGTTTCTAATTATTAAGACTCCTTTGAGTGATAGAAGTTTCATTCAGTGCAAGTTTTTCCTAACAGCCCTATGCCCTTGTGAAAAATTAAAATTTACCTGCAAAAAAATAGGAATGATCTAATTAAGCTCACATACAAAGGTTAAGCCTGACGTCTAGCATCATAAAGGCTTAATCAAGCCATACACATGACAACTTTTTTCCTCTGCTTTATCTATGGGTCTATGATGGGTTTAAAAAGAAAGTGGCATGATTATTTCTAAAACATACCGTAATAAATCTAAGTTTCAAATAGGCTGTCCAGTGTCTGACAGCCAATCCTTCATATTAATTTTCTTTTTAATATATTTTTATTGATCTCAGAGAGGAAGAGAGAGGGAGATATGAGAGAGAATCATTGACTGGCTGCCTCCTGCACGCCCCACCCTGGGAATTAGGTCCACAACCCAGGCATGTGCCCTGACTGGGAATCGAACTGCGACCCCCTGGTTCACAGGTCAATGTTCAACCACTGCGCCACGCCAGCCAACATTAATTCTTACACTTCCAACCTGTTATAACCAAAGCCTGATGCAGTTTTACCAGAATGGACCACTGAGCAGGCTGGAGAACAGGCATCACACCTCAGTCCCTTATTGCCGAGAAAAAGAGGCCCAACTGGCTGTAAGCTGCTGAGAGCTGCTCTAGGGGTCTGGTACCCCATGAGTGGGACAATCTTTAGGCTACAAATATTTCTACTTATAACAGGCAGTGAGAACTCACAACTGGACACTAGGAGAGGAGTAGCAAAGACAGTTTAAGCATGTTGACAACCTGACAGCTAAGGAATAACTAATACTACAAAGCAGCTCTATTGCAGGTCAGACAGAATGCTGACGCAATGGCACACATAAAAACCTACATACTTCAAGGGATTCACATAACTCCCCAAAGCTCTGCAATGTCAGTGCTAAATCCTACAGAACAGCGTCTCGGCCACCAAAAGCAGGCATGGGACCCAGGAAAGGCCACTTTACAGGCAAACTCACCTGTAAAGATACATGAAGAAACAGAGCAGGTGGAAACCAAGCTTGATCATGGCTTCTTTCATGTGTGACTTCAGCTGCCCTCGATTGTGGATTTCTGTTGGGTCAAACACTCCCATGTTACCACTTGGCACCATAATGAACCTGGTAAATTAAAGGATGCACACATATTAGAAGGAAAATCAACTCATCAGCAAAAAAATATTCAAAACTAAGTAACCAATAATCGTCAACCTTTAAAAGTGAACTAATCATAGCAGTTTTAAATTCAGACCAAATATGAACGGGGTATTATGGTAAAGTCACAGGCCACCGCTTACTTTTCCTTTGAAAGATACAATGCTGTTAATTTTCGGTGTAGTGTTCTGCCCTCTGAAACAAATACAGTCACACGCTAGAGAAGCGTATTTTATGCACTGAGACCCTCTTACACACCTTCTGTAGAAGACCACTGGAGAGGGCTCCAAACCAAACCAATCTTATCAAGTTCTTAGAAACTTCTTTATCTAAAAGGTTCTAAATCAATTAGTGCAAATCCCTTCACTTTTCTCATCTTCATAAGGAAGAGGAGTGTCAGACATAATTATTCCCATTTCTCAGATGATAATAAAAAGAGAGGGTCTATGTCCAGACCGGAAACCTCATCTCTGTGCTTCTGCTGATCAATAGAGAATGTCTCAATTCGCATGGTTTATGAACAGTATCTCCCTTAAAAGAGCAACTTAAAGGAAACAGAACAGAAATGATTTAGAATAAATGCTATTGTGATGAAATAAAACTCTTCAATTAAGACAGTAAATGGATAATTCAGACTAAAAATGCAATGTCTGCCGAAACCGGTTTGGCTCAGTGGATAGAGCATCGGCCTGCGGACTGAAAGGTCCCAGGTTCGATTCCGGTCAAGGGCATGTACCTGGGTTGCGGGCACATCCCCAGTAGGAGATGTGCAGGAGGCAGCTGATCGATGTTTCTCTCTCATCGATGTTTCTAACTCTCTATCCCTCTCCCTTCCTCTCTGTAAGAAATCAATAAAATATATTTTTAAAAAAATAAATAAAAATAAAAATGCAATGTCTGATTTTACATAACTAAAAAACAAACAAACAAAAAAACAGATGAAGTGCCAAATACACAAGTAAGAACTGTGCTTGTTATAGTGGTGGCGGTGTGACCACAGTGGGGAACTAGGAACAGAGCTATAAGTCAACACAGAAGGTAAAGGCACCGTAAGCGTGCTCCTCATTCCACATCCAGACCAGTTCACACAGACTCAGAATAGACTCCAACTGTTTAAAGAAACCTTGATAATACTGTATTTCATATATTATAGTTAATACTATGGAGTCCTTTAGGGTGCTTCAGATAACATGTCACATTTCCTATTTATTTAATATCACTGTGTCTGTAGTAGCTGCACATGAGTCTTCCTCCTTGATTGACTCCTTTACGAATAAGGAAATTGGGGTACTTGGAGGGAAACCATGAGGTTAAGAAGAACCTGGGGCCGAAACCGGTTTGGCTCAGTGGATAGAGCGTCGGCCTGCGGACTGAAAGGTCCCAGGTTCGATTCCGGTCAAGGGCATGTACCTGGGTTGCGGGCATATCCCCAGTAGGAGATGTGCAGGAGGCAGCTGATCGATGTTTCTCTCTCATCAATGTTTCTAACTCTCTATCTCTCTCCCTTCCTCTCTGTAAAAAATCAATAAAATATATTTAAAAAAAAAAAAAAAAAAGAAGAAGAACCTGGGCTTCAACATCATGACTGGGAGCTCTGTGCCGCACACAGAGCCTCGCCTGATACTGCCGTGGCCTCTCCCTGCTTTCACGTCCAAGCTTCCTGTAGTTCTCCCTCCCTCTCACCCACACTCAGTTCTCAACCCAGATTCTAGGAATGCAAATGCCCCCGAGTCACACGACTCTTCTATTGGAGAAGAGAGAAAGCTGTTAAGATTAAAAAAAAAATGTCTTTAAACTTCCCCGACATGAAACAGCAAACAAGACTCACCGATAAATATTCCAAGTGGCAACAGGCAAGTTGAGAAGGAAGATGAACCAGTGCAATGAAACGAGCATTAATAACGTGACAAGGGTGTGGCCAATCAATTCTGGAATGATCCACTGCAAGGGGAGAACAGTACACATCTCACTGCTGGGTTCTGCCTGAATGGCATGTCACTTACAGCTAAATCAGTGAAGAGACGGGGAACTTCCAAGCTAGTGTTTCAAGATATTTTTAGACTCCATGTCCCAGATTTGCAAACTGCTGTAACTGCTTAGCCCATGCAGACACATCAGGGCACAGCTTGCAACTAATGCACTTAAACTTCAGCTATGTCTTATGTGTCCTTAGCAAATGTTCCAAGTCATCCACTAAGCAGGTATGAATGACAATTAGGGGGAAAATCGAGTAGTGTTTACTTTGTATACCACTATCTATGCTGAAGCCCCTACTCTAATTTGGGACATATATCCACATGCATGCTGCCTTTCATGTCAGAATATCAGCCTTAACATTTTACAATCACACACACACACACACAAAGATAAAGTACTTTAACAATAACAGCTCAAAGCTGAACAAATATGGTAATGAACTAAGCTACCAGAATCCCAGCCTATTGGCTTTTAGCACCCAAATGCCCTTAGCTATGCTCTTTGTTTACTGGACAATGTTCTACTTCTCATGCCTCAACACTATTGTGGCAGGTTCTCAATTCATCAATGGTCTTCTTCTTCTAAGAGTAGACCTTTTTCTTTTAATAGAAGTTAAGAGAAGCTAATATTCATGGAGCCAAAACCTGAGATTCCCTATTTGTAGAAATGAGGGAAGTAAAACTCAGAGAGATTAAGTGCTTGCCCCACGACTGAGTGGCACAGCGTACAGTAAGTCCAGGCATGCTGCCCCAGGTCTCTTGCATTTAGAGTTTTCTTTTTGCAAACAAAGAGGGGTTTTCTGAGCCTTAAACCTAATTTGCAACAAACTGAAACTTTTTAATATGTATATGCATTTTTTAAATGTGACCAATTTAACATAAGTGTGAGCAGCAAAGTCAAACAAACCTGAAGTGGAATCATGTGCTATCCTTTTATTAGCTGTGGAAACTAGGAAAAGTTACCTATAAAAATTAGCGTTAAAAAAAGTACTTAACTTCAAAGTGAGGGAGTAATTTTCTCAGTAGAAGAATCCAGATAAGCTTTTCTTGGTATTTAGACTTTTATTTTTATTTTTTAAAAAACCAACAAATACCCACCTAAAATATTGAGAAAGCAAGAAATATAAAGACACACAATCCATCTGATTATATGTAGTCATTTCTCTAAAGATGAGAAGGCCTGAAGCTAATTTAATGTTACATATAATACTATCTCAATAAAAAATTTAAAGAGAACTCTCAAAGCACAGCAGGTAAACATACAATATTTTATTTAAATCTATTGCTGTATTAAACCATGTCCTGGAAAATTCGACAGAAAGAAAGAGAGAGAGGGAAGGAAGGGGGAGGGAGGGAGGGAGGGAGGGAGGGAGGGAGGGAGGGAGGGAGGGAGAGAGAGAGAGAGAGAAGGAAAGAAAGGGAAAGAAAAGTAGAGAGAAGGAATATAGTTTACTAAAAATTTTAACTTTCCGAGCGTATCTTTATTTCCCTCTGGGCCCGAGAAGCTTACGTAGACTGAAGATGTGAAATCACTTTTAGGCCAGGCCAAAAGCACCTCTCAGTATTATTTTTATATGAACTTTTATCTAGAAAGCTCTTCTGTCTGCTCATCTCAACTGAATCAGGATCAACGGGTTTCTCTGCATCTAGACAAGCTCTGCAATTCAGAATATTCTTGCCAATTTAAAGTTCTGACTAGATACCAAAGGCAAAATGGCTGTAAAACAAATCTGCTAATTAATTCTATTTCTCAGCAAGCCACAAAAAGGTCTTTCATTCAACTGAAGACAGATTAAGCTTTCTTTCCATGAGCGGGAGGGGGGGAGGGCTTGGACACAGAAAACAAAAACAATTAACATCATGAGAAACCTTTACCTACTCTGAGTAATAATGTGCTCTGTGGACAAAGGGACAAGGAAGAAGCAGAATAAAGGAACAAAATTCCAAGATAGGTCTTCTAGTAGTTTCATGAGTTAAAACATTGCAAAACACATAGTTCTACCAGCATTCCGATAAGAGACAATATGCACTCTGAAATCAAATATACATGTTGATTATCTATAATCTCACACAGAAAATGGAGAACTGCCTTCAATGTCAGAAAATGAGCAAAGAAATGTCTTACCTTGTTTAATTTCGAGCAACATGATCTAGCATTAATGTAATCACATTCTAAATCAGACAATGTAATTATCTGATGATCAAGATAAGGAATTTTTAGACTTCTCATTTGACAACAGAATTTTCTCATTTGTGTTCCTCCAACAAATAAATGATTTTCAAAAATAAACCTTTCATTGTGCTCAATTCTAATGTGACCCACGCAGGGCATTCTATCTGAATTCCTCAAATGCCAAACAGTGGCTATAAGATTGTCAAACTGCAGCGGGAAGGCCGGGGAGGGTTGGGGGGCAGGAGGGAGGGGGGTAAGAGATCAACCAAAGGACTTCTATGCATGCATATAAGCATAATCAATGGACATAAGACACTGGGGGATAGGGGAGGCTAGGGGACTGTCAAGGGCGGGGGGGAAAAAAGGACACATATGTAATACCCTTTGTAATACTTTAAGCAATAAAAAAAAAAAAAAAGAAATGGAAAAAGAAGTCCTATAAAAACAGTGTACATGTTAAAAACCTGAATTCTCCTCATTAGTAGAAAAATACTGTTTACTTAGGATATAACCATAAAATGTCTTTAAAGACTTAAGATAGCCGAAACCGGTTTGGCTCAGTGGACAGAGCGTCGGCCTGCGGACTGAAAGGTCCCAGGTTCGATTCCGGTCAAGGGCATGTACCTGGGTTGCGGGCACATCCCCAGTAGGAGATGTGCAGGAGGCAGCTGATCAATGTTTCTCTCTCATCGATGTTTCTAACTATCTATCTCTCTCCCTTCCTCTCTGTAAAAAATCAATAAAATATATTAAAAAAAAAAAAAAAGACTTAAGATATATAAAAAGAAAACAGAATACAAAACTATGAATATAGCGTGGACATGTTAGCAGTCCGTATGCTGCAAAAGTTGGATTACAAATGATGTGTTTTCCTAATATTTTTCTCTATTTCCCAAACTTGCTACAATAAACATCTATCACACTGGAATTAAGCAAACAATGGTTTTTAGTACGAAATATAAACTCACAAATAAACAGTTGAGGGACAGACAGGCGAAAGGAGAAGCCTTCAGCTGAAAGGCGATGCCTGCGCTTTACTTTAAAATGCCCCACCCCCTCCCCCCACTAGCTGGGAGAGGGATGAAAAATAATGGCAAAACGCTGAAAATCACTGAAGGCGAGTGATAGAGACATGGGGCTGACTACATTACTGCCTCTACTTTCAAGTTTGAAAATGCCCAACAATGCAAGTACAAACAAATGTTTTCCATTAAATTCTAAAACATTTTCATATAACTATCCCCCTATGACCCCGATACGCTATAGTCAAACTTATCACTTTCTCCACAAATTATTCCAATTTGTTTTATTTCTGTCCATGACACAAGCATCACTTGCCCAGGCTCAAAACATGGAAAGTGGTTTCTGCCTTCTGCTTCCATCTCATAATCAGCTGCTACCAGGTCCTAGCGATCATTCCTCCCTAATTCCACTCTCATCACTCTCTCCTTCCGCCTGCCCACAAGGAGCCCTCTTCTTCAAATCCAGGTGAACGAACCCTAATGGTTTCTTACCTTCCAATCTTTCCTGTTTCCTACCCATTCTGCAGATTCATCTTCCTAGCACACCCCTTTATGTCGACATTTTTCCATGGCTCCCTACTGCCTAGAGAATAAAAGGGGAAAGCCCTTCTCCTTAACATTCCAGCCTTCCAAACTCTGATCTAATTCCTAATTCAGCCTTTCCACCCGGAGCTTCTACTACCACCAAAATCAGCCATGTGCTCCTTAACCCCAGCACCCACAAATGCCAGGGGCACACCTTTGCTCTTGCCGGGGTGTGATTATAAATAGCCACCCCTTTTCCGCCTCTGCAGGCCTCTGAAGGGTTCTAAGTCCAGGGAACTCCTATCCCTACAGAATGTCTACCCGGCCCACTTCCCACCTCTTGCCTGTAATATTAAGAAAGCTAGTTCAGTCCTGGCTGGTTTGGCTCAGTAGATAGAGTGTCGGCCTGTGGAGCGAGGGGTCCTGGGTTCGATTCCAGTTGGGGCCACATGCCCAGGTTGCGGGCTCCGTCCCCAGTGGGGGGCATGCAGGAGGCAGCCGATTGATGATTCTCATCATTGATGTTTCCTTCTCCCTCTCCCTTTCTCTCTGAAATCAATAAAAACTTATTTTTTTAAAAAAGAAAGCTAGTTCAACTACCCAAAAACACAGTCATACAATAGGCTGAATTTCATCAAAACACACCCGGACTGTACCTCACGGTCAAAGTCAAATATTCCACCTAACATTTCTCTATGAATATTAAACTGGTATACGCCAAGGCTATTCTAAAATATCGAGCCTGACTTTCCAAACTGCAAAAACGAGAAACCCAAGTTTCATTTCCCTGAGTGTAAGCTCCAGCTCCTTTGTCACGACAGGGACATAGGTCATCCAAACGCAGGCAGATGCTGCTGCCCTTTCAAACCCCATGCGACTGCACCAGAAGAAGGCGGAGCAATAGTTACTGAATATTGGCCATGGGGCAGGCAATGCTAGGTGCTTAGCACCTGTCCTCACCCCACACACACACACACACACACACACACACACACACACACACGAAGTAAAAACCTCCGCACATTTTAAAGAGAAAAGGAGCCTTAGCTGGTTTGGCTCAGTGGATAGAGCATCCGCCTTCGAACTGACAGGTCTCAGGTTGGATTCTGGTCAAGGGCACAGGCCCAGGTTGTGGGCTGATCCCCAGTGGGGGACTTGCAGGAGGCAGCCGATCCATGATTCTCTCTCATCATGGATGTTTCTCTCTCTCCCTCCCTCTTCCTTCCTCTCTGAAATCAATCTATATATATAAAAGCCTAAGCAGCCAGAACGATCGGCCAGACTGGGGGCAGGGCCGCTGGCCAACCTCCTCGGCCCCTCCCACCGCCCGATCACCCCCCCCCCCAATCCGGCTGGGCCGTCTGGACCCCACCTGTGCACAAATTTGTGCACTGGGCCTCTAGCAAAAATATATTTTAAAAATAAAGAGAAAACGAAGGCCTAAGAGAGCTGAAGTAATGCGCACAGCGAATATCCAGCTAAGCAAGGAGGCCCGACATCAAACTCCTCTCCCACAATAAGGCATGGAAACCGCACTCGGTAAAACCACCCTAAAAAGCCAGGATACTCGGGCCAACAAAACCTTTAAATCTATCGGACAGGGGACAGGGGCACGTGTGATTTCCAAGGGGGGAAAAAAAAAACAATAATGCAGTTTCTTCGGGCGTTTTTCCGGGCTTATAGTTAATGACTTCAATGAACTGGGCGACAGCGAAGACTAGCTGCTGCCTCCAGGGCAGGGATGAGCTGCAGCGCACACAGCTCCTGGGGGGCTGGGGCTGGGTGTACCCACCCCTGCGGGCCTGGAAATGCAGCGGAAATGCTGTCCCATGAAGAGCTACCCACGACACACTGAGTTCTGCACCTGGACGGACCCAGAGAAGTGGGCACGTCGACCTGGGAAATACGCACAGAGCACGTGCCCAGCGGCTCCATTCACACATCAGCAGCCGCCAGGGCAACCAAAGAATCCACCGCAGATGGTTTATAAATGCATCCTTCCCAGCACTCCCTACAAAAGGGCACCTACAAAAGGGGGGTGTCCTCCACCCGTTTTTGAAAAGAATCACACTCCTGGACGTGAAAGGTCCAAGTTCCTAAACCCGCGAGAACAAAGGGGAGGGCGGCGAGGGGGGTGGGGGTGGGGGTGCCCAGTGACTGACCAGAGGCGGCAAAGCGCCTCCCACTCGCCCCAACGCCCGCGGGCCCAGGAGCGAGCACCCCAGGACGTGGGCACTCGCCCTCGGGACACCCCGCATCCGACAAAGGGCCCGGCCCTGGGGGAATCTCCAAAGAAAAAACCCGCCAGCCGGTCTCCCGAGGGCCACAGGGGAGGCGAGCCGCGCCCCCTCTCCTCCGAAGACCGGACAAGGCCACGACGCCCCGCTCCGGGCAGGGCTGGTCCGGGCACCGTGGGGGCGAGCGGCGGCGGGCAGGCCCGGCCGGGGCGCTGCGGGAGAGGCGCGCTCGGACCCGCGGCCCGCAGCCCGGGAAGGCCCAGCGGGGCGGAGGAGGGCTGCCGGGCGCTCTCCGGGCCGGGCTCGCCACACCCACTCCGGTCCCGGCGGCCCGCACCCCGGGGCCCGCGCCCGCCTCCTCCTCCCCACGCACCTGCCCGGGTCCCCCACCCGGGCCCAACCTCAGCCCGTCCCTCCGGCGGCCGGCCCCGCCTCAGGCAAGGATACGAAGTACACGGAGAGGAAGATGAGCGCGCAGCAGTCGAGGAGAGAGAAGACGAACACCACCGCCTCCATCCTCCTCCACGGCCGCCGCCGGTCCTTCCGTGAAACCGGTTCGGGTGCCCCGACCCGCCCCGCCCTGATAGGCTCTCCACCCGCCTTGCTGGGGCGTCTAATCCATTCTGCCGGGCGCGCGGCATGCCGGGAATTGTAGTCCGTTGTAAACCGCCTTGGTTCTGCGGCATGCTGGGAAATGTAGTTCATTAGGACGCGGACCTGTCAAGGAGGTGGGCAAGGTCTCTCTAACAGCGGTTCTCAACCTGTGGGTCGCGACCCCTGAAAATACATCCTGCATATCAGATATTTCCATGATGATTCGTAACAGTAGCAAAATGACAATTATGAAGTAGCAACGAAAATAATTTTATGGTTGGGGGGTCACCACAACATGAGGAACTGTATTAACCCCCTAGAGTGCCAGGAGCGCTATCAAAGCTTGGAAATGGTGTCCAGTTCTAAGTCTGCTTTTATTAGTGATGATGCTATTGCTAAATATGTCAATGTAGTAAAGGTTTCCTTAATTTTTTGAATATGTCACTTCATTTACTTGCAATTCATAATTTTTTTTCCTAAACTGCTGTAAAATCAGCAAAAATGCCTTGGCAATTTTAGCATAGTTCCCAGGATATTGGTTGGCACTCAAAGGGTTAAAGGGTCGCAGCATTAGGAAGGTTGAGAACCACTGCAAGAAATTGTGACAAGTAATTAATCAATGAGGATTTACTGAATGTTTGTAATTGTCTGGATACACAGTAGCATTTCCTGGCCATGTGAGAAATTTTCTTTCGATTGCACGTTGGACCCAATGGATCCCGTGACTTGGGAATGGTGAGAGGTTTTCATCTCAAAGCACAAATCTAACCTCAACCCTCTTGGCTTGACAGTTGAGACTCGCCTTTCCCGATCTCAGTGTCTCCAGAAATTTCACAGTCCCTTGTTATTCTCTGTCGCAGTGATGTTTCTCTCCACTCTTGATTTTAATATCTTTGAAAACTGAATATGTCGTCTTATTCATTCATAACAAATATCTACTGACTCCACCTCCTACTATATGCCAAGAGCTTCTCTGCACTCCAGAAATACAGAAATGAACGAGGCAGACAACATGGTGCTCTCACTGGGTGGGTGGGACAGGCAATAAAGTAGCAACTAATTACAGAAAAAAGAGATTATTTTGAAGAGTCATAAGATCAATGGAGCAAGTTATATCAGTCACACATTCATTCAATCAGTATTTTCTGAGGATCTAGTATATACCAGGTACTGGACTTAGGGATGCATGATGAATACGAGAGAAAAAGTCCCTACACTCCTGTAGCTTACATTACAGTGAGGGAGACAAACAAACAAACAAAAAACCCTCGCAAAGGATGGGGGAAAGGTGGGAAAACACTTGAAGATTGAGTGATCAGGGAAGGCCAGGCTGGAAATGATACGCAAATTGAAATCTGAATAGCTACGTGAAGATTTGCAGGCAAAGTGTTTCAGACATTGAGGACGGTGACTGCAGTACTCAACCGCTCATAGACACATGCTCTTCTCAGGAATAGAGAAAATGGCCAATAGAGCTGAATTACAATGAATAAGGGTGAGAGAATTGGGAGAGGAAGTCAGAGGTGGGCAGGGCAAGGTCACAGAGCCTCGTGAACCTCTGGCAAGGAGCATGACTTTTATTCTAATACTAGATGCCTGGTGCACGGACTCATGCAACAGTGGAGTCCCTCCTTTGGCCTGCGAGGACCAGGCCAAAACCAGCTCTCCGACATCTCCCAGGGGTCCCAGATTGCGATAGGGCGCAGGCCAGTCCGAGGGAATCCCCGGTGCACGAATCTATGCACCAGACCTCTAGTTTGCATATAAGATCTTTGGTTAATTTCTTCCCACCCTGCCCCCTCCCCCACTATCCCCAACAAACAATAAATCCTGTAACAATTGGGCCTAAGTGGCCAGGACTCCATTGATAACTGACCGCTTCCCTAACTTTTGTCCCACTTCTCCCAACTTAGGACCAACTGGGAAAAGCCAAAAATGCTTCCCCTAAGTAGTCATATAGGATGCCCTGCCTCTACTTAGCCACGTACAGCTTCCCTGTGACAATAGTCTCCAATCAGGGCATATCCGAAGCCTTCCCTTTTACAGTTATAAAGTGTGCCCATTCTTCTGCCTGCCTTTGAGTCTCTGCCCAAATGCAAGTAATGGTGGCTGACTCCCTTGCTGTTATGGCGAGCTCTGAAGAGTCTTTGCCTAGTCTCATTTAAGTGATTTTCATTGATTTCCATAAAGGGGAGACTATGAATTATCATGCTGGATCAAGAGGCCAGCACCAGGGCTGTCCTGGGTAAATGAGCACATAGGTCACTAAGTATAAAGCACAATTGGACAAGAGGCTGTTTGCTAGTGAGGTACAACATTTGCGGGGGTTGGGACTGGAGGAGCCAAGGTATGGGGAACAGGAGGTGAAATGTGCCGCCACTACCACTAGGTGGGGCTGCACCATTAAAGAATGGAGGACATTTGCCCTGGCTGGTGTGGCTCAGTTGGTTGGAGCCTCCTCCCAGAAAGGTGGTAGGTTCCATTCAATTCCCTGGGGTGTGCGGGAGGCAACTGACTGATGTTTCTCTCTCACATCCATGGTTCTCTCTCGAATCATTAAAAAAAAAAAAAAAGGAATGGA